GACTTCGAAGACGTCGGCAGCCCTGAGTTAGGTTCGCGCCCTAAGCATCGGCCGCTCTAAGCATCATGAACAATACTTAGGGCGGCCGACGTCTTCGAAGTCGGCCGAGATTATTTCTTGTATCACGGACATAACTTAGGGTGGCCGATATCCTCGAAGTGATCTCCGAATCCTAAGGAATACCATTAACAACTTTATGGAAGAAATAATCTCGGCCGACTTCGAAGACGTCGGCCGCCCCAAGTTAGTTTCATGATATAAGAAGTAATCTCGGCCGACTTCGAAGACGTCGGCCGCCCCAAGTATCATCTTCGAAGTCGGCCGAGATTATTTCTTCACTTTTACCACCTCTTGATAAATTTATCCGATAGATAAAACCAGCTCTTAGGTCCATTACTACCATCTTTTAGTTAAATTTATCTTATAGATAAACCCATCTACTAGCCAATCAGAGCGCGTGAAATAGCCGTATCCATAGTAATAATCCCATAGATAGCTTAACCAGAAGATGGTAGTAACGAGCCTTAGCCAATGAGAGCGCTTAAAACCGCCGTAACCATGGCAACTATCCTCTAGATAGTTTATCAGGAGGATGGTAAAAGTGGGCCTAAGAAAATCAATTACGCTTTGTTTAATAAGTGCCGATGGTAAACTTCCAGATCCAGGAAATTTATGACTTGCCAGAAGATTCATTCTCAGGTAGCTTTATGTTGTCATCAGTTATCACTGGCGGGGTTGGGTTGGGTTGGGTTTTAAATCTGTTTAATTTCAGTTTTATTTTGAATTTACCGTGCATTTTTAAAATTTAATTTAAGTTTTTCTATATCTTTTAATGGTCAAATTGGGTTAAATTATCTTTAAAAACAAATATAAAGTTTTAAAATTACAATGCGATAAAGTTCTAAAGTTAAACAATTAAAATTGTTGGAGTCAATCGAATACTCCTATTTAACAAGTGTTTGGTTTTGGGTGTAAATCGAACCAAACTTACAAAATTGTTAATAAATAATGAATTTGTTTTTGGATAATGGTTATAATAATAGTTTAAAAATAAATAAATTCTTTAAGGATGTATTTTAATAAATAAATCGAGTAAATAAGATGTTTTGAAAATTGCCGGTTGATGGGTGACATCGTTGTCGGTAAGTGTGATACCGAACATGCGCAGTGGGTTTCGCCGTGTTCTCTATGGCTCTAAGTATGTAACTGGTGTAAATATGGAGTTTCGTGTAGGAGATAATATCGTAGGGTGTGTTGAATTAAACGGATATGCGGGCGAAGGAATCGCCGATAAACTATACAAGGTGATTTGCTTAACCATCCCGTATTAGTGAAATTGCGTTTTATAGTCTTATCTGCATGATTGCCGAAAGAGAGGTGCTCGTGTACGATTGTTTTGGAATGGTCGCCATGTTGAAAATATATGATTATAAAAAGTGGCCGTTGTAACGTTATTTGCAGTTTGGTGCGGTTTCGTATTGTGCGGGTGGAGCTGTGATAGTTTTTAGGAATTTGTGTTTTATATTACGCGAACGGGTTTTGGACAAATAACAAAACGCATGTATCGCCGTTGTTTACGTAGAGAAGAAGATGAACCCACAAAGTCCAACGAAAACTGTACTCAGGATTTTAGAACGGGCGAATCCTTTCTACCACTTGTTCGATGCACGTATCACTTTAGCTATACTTTTTATTCAATCTCCTGTAGATTTCGACTCCTAAGTTTTCAAAACATTACAGTTACAGGTTTAGTTAACTTGTATCCGTTTTGTTTTCATGCTTATGCACTGACTAGTTCAAAAATCTAAATCAAACTTATCTTTACAGTATTACAATGAAGCTTTGAATAGTGACTCCACTACCTATGAAGATAAGTGTAAAATAATCATCGAAATATGGAAAGCCGTTGGATTAACATACAAACAACACAATTTACAAGATATTATTCGTGTTATGGAATGGGGAAAACATCACACATTCGATATTGTTTTAGATGGCCAGTGGGATACTCATAAAAGTAAGAAACTTTAAACTATTTGATTACCTAACACTACAATTTATTTGTTTTAGCCTATTACGAACAAGTTTTTATATTGTTTCTAAAAGAATGTGAAGAAAATTTAGTTAAAGTTAATAAACAATTTCATTATCATTTTCAAAGGTTAATCAAACTCATTCAACAACCATGGGATAACAAAGTATTACGAGCCATTATACAGAGTAATGAAAAATCTGAACTCACAGAAAAAGGTATATATAACATTTAGTATTTTAATCCTAACTATTATAAATGTACAAGACAACATTCTTTTTATAAATTTGTTAATTTTTGATTTGGTGATGAGTCACTTGTAGTTTATTCATATCAGGAATGTTGAGTTGGCAGAAATTTTAGGAGGTTTGAGATTCTTTAGCACATTTTCCAGAACCTCTGAGACAAACAAAAAGCTCGAGGTATCAAAAAGCCTTATCAAAAAATTTTACCAAGCCCTTATAAATTGAAACTTTGCCTTTTTTTGCTGAAATACGCGAACACCGATTTGGTGGGCGAATAATGCTGTTCAATAATATTATTGTATGCACATTGTGAGTCAATGCGCTGTAGACAAAACAAAAATAATCTTACAAGGTCCCTTAATACTTTATTCATAAAAACCGGATTAAGAAAATGATGTCAAATGTCAAAACTTTGATATCTATCTCTTTCTAACACACATTCGCAACGCCGCTTTTATTTTCATTAACTATTGGCTGTCCCTATCTAGTCGCGCAGTACGCGGTAAAGATACAAAATCTGCTCAAACAAACTATTTCTTTTGCTATTTTTGGTAAAAATATCGGAAAAAGATTATTTGCGGTTCATCTGTTAAAGATATTCATAAAAAAATATACAGTATGTCCCAGAATAGATGTTACAATAGGTATAATGACCTAAACATTTTTGAATTTTATTTTAATGATAAGGAATTAAGCTCTGCTTGGTCTGGAGAGAATTTTAAGTATATTTTCATATTTTCAAAATCAACTCGGCCTTGACAGTGTTCAGGTAAAGTAAGCTTTTTAAAAAAATTTCATTAAGAAAAGTTGTCCAGAATGAGAAATTATGGCACTATGCTAAATTTCAGAAAGATACGCATTTTTACATTGATTAAACCACCATATTTAATGAAAAAAAAATGACTTAAGTATAGTCTTCGATTTTTCTGGTGGTTTTTATGACTTAATTGCAGTCATATAACGAACAAAGACGGGGTTGTAAACAGGTAGTTGACGAACCCCAAACTCAGGCGTGAGTTGTTCAGGTTCGCATTAACGGAAATTACAAAAACATAATATTTCATCCGAATTGTGGTCGTAGTGCGTAAAATGCGTGAAAGATGTCGAAGATTTGTATGTGTCGCCACATGTACAGCGTTTTATTATTAGTGTTGATGATTCTTCTGATGACCACAGCTTAGAATGCGCGGAAAGTGACAACTGTTATTATGACACTGATGAAGAATCTTGAATTAACGACAATCGCCGGTTAGAAATGTTAAATAGTTCATATTGAAATAAAATAAAAAAAGAATAAATCACGATCAGGTACTTTTTCGGGGTGATAATTACTGTTGCTACTGTTTCTGAGGGTCATAAAAACCACCAGAAAAATCGGAGACTATAGTCGCAAATATTGACAAATAAATTGTATTATTCCGAAGTTTTAGTTCACATTAACAACTCACATCACAAATTATACAATATTTATGTTATTTAGACTAAAATGTTTAATTTTTAAAGTTCAACCAAAGTAGATAGATCCATAATTTCTCATTTTGAACAACTTTTCTTAATAACATTTTACTTAAAATTCTCTTCACACCAAGCAGGGCTTAATTCCTCAGCCTTAAAATAAAATTAAAAAATTTTCCAGTCTTTATACTTCTTCCTAAAACATTAACATCTATCCTGGGACATACTGTATACTAAACAAATTCGGTAATAAAAAGTTGTTGAATTAATACTACACGAAGTAATAACCTTGTTCACTGGGGTTGGTCTATCAAATAAAACTCGCCTACGTTTGGGGGATGATTTGATGATGCTTGATCAGTCTGGTGAAAGTAAAGGATTTTACCAAAAAGTTATTTGTTTATTGTTGGAAGTACTACAAGTCGAGGACGAAACTTCTACCTTCACAATATACCTTCACTTATTATGTGATGTAGTTTTCTTTGACCAATTTATTGTCAATAAGGTGTGGCAGTATTTTATCAGTTCCAATTTTAGTGGTTTTCCTTTATAAAAGGGGTAGTTGTGGATAAAAAAATCGATGACACAAGACAAAACAGTGTCAATATATTTTTTTGTTGTTTTTCATATTTCAGTTTGATCTTGTATTTTACTTGATTTTTAATAAACATACAAAAAACACAAAGTTTTTATTTCTATTCCTAATTTATACATACATTTTCGGTCTGATTAAGTTAATAAAGTATTTTTATTTTACAGAAATAGACTACTTTACAAATGAAAGTGGTTACACAATATCCATGCGAATCAAAAAATTAATCGACGCCCAATGTGAAGATTTAGCGATGAATTTGTGCTCGTCCTACTTGAAATGCCTGAAATTGGCCGAAGAGGGTAAAGTGACGCTGGCTGTCACTGAAGATCATAAAAGATACGCTTTCGATGTTTACATCGCTTTATTGTATAGCTCTACCCGAATGGATAAAATCATTAGTTTGGTAAGTTATTTTTAGAACTCTAAACACATTCAAAATTGAGTTTGTCCTTTTTGTTACAGTTAAAAGATTTAAATGATAAAGAAGCAAAAGAATTAGTGGGACGTTTTGCATCTAAGGATTCAGTAAATTGTAAAGTATGGAGGTCAAGTTACAAATTGACGTTTATTTCGGCGATGCTTTTCTTGAAAAGGCACGCTCAGTTAGAATCGTTTGAAGATCAACAGACTGTGCTTCATATCATGAAGGGATGGCTAAAATCCATCGAGAATGGTTACAGTGTTTCGGACGCTGTAATTGGGTTGAAACGATTACTAACGCAGGAGACTACATCAATTTTTATCTACACGCTTATTGAAAGCTTAAATTCTATCGATGTTAGTATATAATTAAATCAAAATTATTATGTGAAGTATCATTAAGAATTTTATAAATATTTGTTAGCCAGATCAGTCCCTAAAACTTAAGGTATATTCAAGCTTGGCACATAAGATTAGGGTTCTGAACAAAAAAGGGTCCAACAATAATCAAGATATTTTCCGTGATAAACTTCGTTTTTCATTTCCTTGTTGCAGGTAAAACAAACTAGGATTGAGTTATATATTCGTGCGTTAAATAAAGATTTGAACCGTTTGGAAACATCGAAAGTGGTTAAAGAAGATAAATTGGCGACGTCAATATCGCAAGCGTTAGCGGAGGGTTTATTAAAATTAGCTGCGGAGTTAGACGATCATTTAACTGTTGCTCGAGAGTGCGTATTAACGGCGTTTAGTTTAAATCCAACAAGGACTATATTTGATTTAATCGAAAAAATGGCGAATAGATGCGGATTGAATGTTTTAGATACCGGACAGTGGAAGTGTAAATTTCATGCTATGACTGAAACTGGTGATACAACTAATATTTGTGAAGCATGTAATGAACCGATGGAACCGATAAGTTTGCGTGCTTTTAACACAAATACGATATTGAGTGAAGCGTTGACTGTCGAAAATGTTGGCCTTCCTCAAGAACTCTGTGACGATTTAGTAATAATATTGTGTTCACCGCGATATCAACTATTAAGTTGGTTACAAGAGTGGAGTGATCTTCATCGTTTTTGCATCATGTACTTAGATAATCCACATAAAACTAAAAATTATATAACGGAACTTAAATTTATCGAAATAGATTATTCTTTATTCCAAAAAGCGAGGCAGCAACTACAAATTGAGCCGGTTGATATCTGTTTTGGTTACGATAAAGTTTTGGAAGAATCAGACGCTGAAGATGAGGCGAGCGTCGCAGCAATAATGTCAGATTCCAGCGACGAAATCATAGATTATCACGCGAGGCGGAAAAATAAAATGAAGAAGCAGGTTATCAGAGATACTTCAGATGAGGAAGAGGAGGAACCTTCGAATATCCAAGAACCCAACAATTTAACTTCAGAACTTATAGAAAAATCATATTACCCGCAATCCGATCCTGAAGTATTAAAATCGTTACGTTCGTTTAGGAAACGTAAAACGGAAGAGGAATTACGGGAGATTCCGTCAAAAATTACTTTGGTGGAAACGAGCATGTCTTCATGTTCATCACCATTTGCACAAATATTGGATTGGACTTCTCCTTTAAAACAGTCACTCGATAATATCCATAACCAGCTGAATGAACCACAAGATCTACCACAACATCAAGAGTCTCGAGTTCCTCCACAACCTCAACAGTTTCAAGATTTACAACAGCCCTATCAAAAAGCACTACAACTGCAAAAGTTACTAGATCCACAAAAACCACTGGGTGTACAAAAGGATCTAGACCTACAACAACCATTAGATCTACAAAAGCCAGAAACAAGAATGCAAGAATCCCCAAAACCACAACAATACCAAGAGCCAAAACAGCCCCAAAAGCCAGAACAATCCCAAGAACCACAATCATTACACACTTCATCACTGTCTACTGAAGAACCATTAAATCCTCTATTTTCAAATTATATCGCTGATGAAGCGATGGACTTATCAAAAAGTAAAAATCAAACAATTGGTGTAATCGAAGATTTCGATCCGTTTCAAGAAATCGATCGGATATTGGAAAATCCGGGAAATACCGAACCCGTTGCTGATGTTATTATAGAAGAAGAAATTGAAAAATTTTTAGATGTATCAATAGAAACAAAAGAAAAGTCCGAGTCTTCCCTTGTTAACGTAATCGAAAATGTTGAATTAAATGATAAAGAATTAAAAGAAAAACAAGAAAAGGAAGAACAACTAAATGAGGTATTAACTAGCGAACAATTAGATGATAAAAAATTAAATGGTGATCAATCAGATGGGGAATCTTTAATTAGTGAGCAATTAGATGATAAAAAATTAAACGGTGAACTATTAAATAACGAATCAATTAATATTAGTCAATTGGGAGGGGCATATCCGCCTATTTCAATTGAAAATATTATTCGTAAAGATATAATAGTACGTGCTTTAGCATCAAAAGTTGTCCTTCAAAGATTAAATCATAACCAAATGAGTGTAGCAACGGTACATTCTCCAACAAAACTGAGAGCGGATATAAATAACGAAGATGATGTTCTCGTACCGTGCTGTTCACCATCATCAACGATTGAGTTTAGTTCGAACGTTTCATCAAATTGTAACGAAACAGATATCGACGAAAAAATGGAAAATCCGAAAAAATTAATTTTGGAAGATGTTACTCAAATTAACGATAACATCGATATAAGTATTATTGAAGAAGTTGTTGGGCAAAAAGTGATAAAGAAATCACAGCAGATGTCGGGAAGACGCAAAAATGATCCGTACTTAGATTTAGTATTAAATCAACCTAGATATAGGCGATCTCATAAGCATCCGGCGAAGTTCGAAGATTACTTGTACGATTATCCTGATTGCCGCCGAAAGAAGCATAGTAAACAAGTCGATACGAACAAAAATGAAGTTGCGCAAGATTCTAACGACGTTGAGGATGATAAACGAAATGAAACGTCACCTAACGTTTTAAAAAGTGATAATTATTCCGGACAGAAATATTCACACCAAGATCCGGATGTTAAAGAACAAACGAATCAGGACAAGAGTTTATTTCGTGAAAAAGGTACTGAGGGAATTTTTACTGAAGAGACGGGGAAAATTGTAAAGAAACCTCACCGGGAATTTAATGAGAACAAAGAAAACTCGGTTTATATTTCGAAACGCACCATCAAAGGTAAGATAAAAAAGAAACCAAAGAAAACCCGTCGATTATCAAAATCCGATGAAAAAGAAATTGAATCCGACCGAGAAATTGACGGCATTCAGGTCGGTAATGAAATTTATTCACGGTTACTTAAAGATGTTAAAGTAGTGATCGATAGGATTTATTTACCAGATGGCAAAAAGAAGTTCTCCCTCAGTACCGATTCAAAAGTTTTTAAAATGTGCGAACGACTAAATCGTAAGCTTCCGCGAAAACCTTTCGCAGAAACCAACAAGAACCAAAGAGTTTTAGAAGACTGGAGGTGTAAAAACCCTGAATTTAGTAACGCTTTATTAGAACCGCGAGTTTTTCTCGAACGCATGAACGTCAATGGGCGATTTCATAGCCCTAACAATCGAAAAAACGGGGAGAAAAAGTCTCATCGCAAATATAATACCGGTAACGTCCGTTCAAACAATGCAAAAAACGTTTTGGCTAATGTGCCAGGCATGAAAGATACTGGTTTAATACAACCACCGCCCGTTGCGAACGTTGTTCAAGTCGTGCAAATGACCGGGAGATCAACAAACGCATCTACGGGATCTCAAACTAGCACGCAAGTTTCGCCACATATACAAAGAATTGGTCAACCTCGACAAGATAAACCGGAAACTTCCGAAGATGCCGCCGCGGCGACGACATCAAAAGCTAGCTCTAATTCGAAACCGGCTACCACACAACCGTCGTCTTTGATCAACATTTTGTCGCATCCCGTTATTCGTACGTCAGCAGGTACTGCTGCTTCCGGTCGAACGCCGCCCGTCATTAATATTCTTTCGAATCAAATCATTCGACCTGCGAGTGCAACTCGCGTTACTCGTTCCGCATCCACGGCTACAGCGACGATGCCTTGCCAGGTACGTAGTTTCACGTGTGATTTGGATAACTTTGAGCGGTTTTATTTGGAAATCTATAGCTTGTGACATGACTTAAGTTATGAATGTGATAACTTTTTTTAAATTATTTTTTTGTATTACGGGTTTAACATGTTTTCTTTTATATCGCTCATTGATGTAGTTTATCCGAGCATGCTTAATAAATTTTATTTTTATTTTGTACGCACGTTTTCATTATTTTCATTTTCATTATTCAATTTCGCGTGTAAAGCTTTTATTAATATCAATATTTTTTTAAGCTTTAGGTTTTCTTTCAATATATATTTTACTGTAAATATTGGCGGTGTGGGTTTGTCTAAGATTTCAAAAAAAGAATGAAACGTTTTATTTTTCCAAGTAATTAAATTTATAATTAAATATATAAAGAATTATTTGGTGAGTATTAATGCATGTTACAAATGTTTTTATTAAATACGGGGTGCGGCACAGGAAACTGACGTTTTGGGAATGGTTTGTGTAATCTGATGTGGTAAAATGATTAAGGCGTACAATCCATTTAAAAAACATCCGTTTTCTATATCATACCTTGTATTTTGACTGATTTTATAACACAAATATATTTTCAGTCAAATAACAATACGATTCGATCATCTGGTGAATCTCAATTAATCAATCAACTGACGAATCCCTCGAGATCAACGACAACGTCAAGCTCAACGATAAAAGTAGCGACATCATCGTGTGGTGAACCAGGTCGAATAGTTCAGTTTATATGTCAGTCTTCGGATGGGAAATTAATTCCGGTGTCGTCGTTCGCTCAGAATTGCGTAGTGAAAGTAGCCTCATCTCAAAGCGTATCTCCAACGAGCCCTGGTTACGAAGACGGTGGTTTCCCGAAGGCGGGAAAAAATAAATCGTCTTCAGATGGCGGCGGCGTCGACTCGGAATGTTCAGACACGTTGCCAAAATTTCAACAAGCATTCGGTAAGTCCGTTTATCAGACCAAACCGACCGGGACTAACTCGACTAATGTAACTAACAACGTCGTCAATCATGAAGTTGAGAAACAGCCGAAATTGCCGGCGTCGACAACGACTACTGCCGTTGCTAAACCGGCGACAATTCCCGGCGGAGTTATTTATACGAGACAGGTTCAAAGCGGACAAACGATAAATTTGATACCTCAAAGTCGAGGTCAAGTGTTTCGAATCGCCGCCACTTCGAATTCGGATCAAATTTCTGTCGTAAAAGACACGTTAATTCAAAATAAAATGAACGCGCTTTTAGCGGCCGCGTTAAGCAAAAAAGATAGCGATGATTCGGAATCCGATAAAAGGGATGATTCAACCCCCGCGAGTACGGCGACAACCACAACGACTCGCGTCGCAATTGCCACTCGCCCCGGATTCGTTCAAAACGCGAGAATCGTTAAACCCGTTTTACAAATACCCAGTAACGTTATAAGAAACGCCCCGCAAAACATGAGTTCAACAACATTAGAACAATTGAGAGAATTTGACATGGTTTATAAACAAGTTAAAGAAAGAAGTAGCACAACACCAGTTAGCGAAACTTCAACGAATTCTGAAGTTTCAGAATCGCAGTGTATAAGCGTAACATATCTGAATCAAGGACAAAAAATTAATTGCGCTCCCATAGTCGTAGTAAGTAGTTACAACGCGATTCAGCCGGTGTCTTCGTCGACGCTGAACGTTGTTTCGCAAGGAAATACAAGTCCTAGAGTTACTCCGTCTCCATCTCAAACTGCCTCCTCGGTAATTCCAAAAGTGACTCCAAAACCATCCAAAGGAAAAACAGTAAAAACACCAGCCATTCAAACCGCTTCGAAAGCATCTCCGGTTCCAAAACCTCAACAAAAACCACAAGAAGACGAACATACCACGCAAAGGATATTTGATATTTTGGCGGAGTACGCGGAACAGTTGAGAAATTCGCCTGATTTAAATAATAAACCAGCACCTAGGAGGCGTTCGAACCCGCCAACGAATCCCAGTCAAAATTCTAAACGAAAAAAGAGTTCTAGTTCAAAAAAGCCGTCGCAGAGTAATTCGACGTTACCCGCGGAACCGGATACCGAAGATCCCCGAACGTTAGGAAGCGAAGATTCTTCTTGCGGCGTGATGCAATTGTCCGTACCAGATGATGAACAGCCGGTTGCATTGGCGAGTACGTCCGAGTCTAATGATTCGACTTCTACCCCTAGACAACAGCTTATACTAACCGATTCATCTAATCAACCCCGTAACCTAATAATAGCCGAGTCTAGCGTAGGCGAAGCTTTGAAAATGCCCAACACAGCCGTTCTAGTTCCCGGAAATTATATAATGCCCGTATCGATGGTGAAGGGTGGTCAACAGATCGCCGTGGTGTCGGGTGGTAGTAAAATATTAGCAACCGTTCCCGCACGTTCTGGTCCTAACATGCTCTTATTCCAAAGTTTCCTAAATCAAAATAGAAAAAGTTCCGTTTCGACAGTCAAATATTCCGCCATTCAACCAATATCAGGAATTTCCTCTCAAAGCTTAGCTGGCGTCACGGCTCAACCTCCCGTCATTTTACCCCCATTATCGCACAGCATAAGTACCGTGACGTTAGGACAACCCATAACTGTTAAAAAATTGGATAACGCTGGTCAAGTCAATACTGAACTATTGCTGACGATTTCCCAATCTAGAGAAAATGATTCTCCAGAGGATGCTCCGCAACCAGATAGTAGTACGAACGTAGTGTCTACGAATCTTGAAACGGTGGAGCTTGACGAAGCTGCAACGCTTTCCGACAATTGTTCCGAGAAAAGTTACACCCCGTACCAAAAACCGCTTATCGCATCACCCATTGCGACCCCTGTGATTGCACAAACCAGCGTTGCCAACGCCGTCATGGCCAGTAACTCCACCGTTTCCGCACCTCCACCCACGGAAGACAACATCTCTGAAAGATCTTCATCTGCGGCCCAAACGGTTATGACCCTAAATGTTTCTCCAATTGAACAAAAAGGTACGTATTACAACGAATTAATCATTACAGTAAAACCTTATACAACGTATCATGAACAATTTGATTTCTTGTTTAGGTGAACTGCGCAAAAATGAAGAACGAATTCAAACCGTACTAGTTACTGCCAGTGGTTCCAACGGGTCTATGATCGCTCAAGCTCGACCTAACTTCAAAGATTCTACGCGTACCGTCAATAAAACACAATCGAATAAAGATGACTTTTTAAGAAATAACGATAAGGTAAGAAAAAGTGTTTGTTGTAATAAATGTTCTAAATAAGTGATTTTTACTTATAGAGAAATAGTGATTCAAAAAATACGCAAAGTAATAATGCGTATCCAGCACAAGGAAAGGTGAAGAAAGTTCAAGTGGCGACGCAGCGTTTAGATAGAGAGTTGCAACAATTGTGTCTGCAAAGGAAACAAGCGGCTTTAGAGCGCGAATTGCGACTGCAAAAGTCTCTGTCTGAAGAGTGTGAAGATTTGGGTGTGGATGAGCCGAGCACAAGCGACCTGTTTCCGGAGGCGGAATTGTTGTTCGATTCAAACCATTCGCCGTCGTTCGAACAGACATCGGACGTGACTAAACGAATCGTCGTTCAGCAGGAAGGAGGTAAGGAAGAGGCTAAGTTGACGTTGTTCAGCGATGACGATTTTTTATTTGAGGCCGGTGAGTACCAGAAAGGTGAAGGTACGGCCGAATACGATGGGAGGACCAACGGACAGAGCAACGACGCGGCGTCGCCTTGCGAAGACGCGACGCTGCTCAGGACTTGTACCTCCATGTCGGATGTAACACTCAATTCGCCAATTTCGCCGGACACTTTCCGTCCGACGACTCCTCCCCCGTTACACAAATATGTACATAAGTATAGCAATAGGAAAAAGAGTGATAAGACTACAAAGCAAACGGATAATTGGACGGGTGAAGTGTCCAGTTCCGAGGATACGACCGGAAGTAATGAAATAAAAGGCGGTAGTCCGGAGGTTTGTTCGAGCAAAGGAATGACGATCGACGAAGACGGTCATCACTTTACTGACGGTAATTCGCATTCATTTAAAGTGGTGCGTGTCGCCGTTGCTAAACAGGAATGTGGCGATTGTTCGGAAGATGGCGACTGTTCGTTAAGCGGCAGAGGTGCACGGCGTAGTGTTAAGAAATTGTGTTCCTGTTGCAACGGCGCATCATCGCAGGACTCGCGAAAGCGACCCGCTCAGCCGCACCAACACGTACCCGTGCCGCAGAAGAAGGTTTTCCCCATGAAAAAAAGATAGTGTGTGCGAACATGTGTCGTTAGTTTATTCGGCGCCTGTAGGCAGGCTTTCAAGTGATTGCACTTTAGTACAAAATACGAAATACTTCAAAACTACGTATCATTCATTTCTTTCCGGTCTGCCTGGCGGAAATGAACATAAACAAAAAAGGTAAATAATAATAAACGATTTTAAATAACGTAAATGAACAAAAGATTATCTCTTGTAAATTTCTTCTTATTGTAAAATAATGTATGTGCAGTTCTTCATTGATGTAAATAAAATATATCTTTCCATTTAATAGCGCAATAATATGTATTATTAAGGACAGTTTTCACATTCTGTTTACATCATTTCTCTATAACACATTTTTGAATAATTATTCTTATCTTTTAGTGGCGATAGAAGGTAAATATTGAAATACTGTTTCAAGGGAAATCATAAAAATTTATTATTACTATATATTACCTGATAACAAAAGTATTATTTTAATAGGTACAAAAGAAAAGTTGCTGTAAAAATTGGAAACGACAATGTGCTTCTATTGCAGGTAATATGATGGAAATGTTTATGTTGCCACAAAAACAATTTACGTATATGCCATCTATCATATCTAAAAAATAGGAAACGGGATAAAGACGATAATTTTTTTGTTATTCGCAGAATGGAGAACTGATCCGTAAAGTTCTCGATTATTTTCATCATCTAAAAGTATGCTCAGAAATTAAAAAAAAAATGATAAGAAAAAAATACTTTTTAGAGAAGCCTTGTTAATATTGTAATGATATTTCGTACTTAGATATAGAAAGGATCCTACCCTCTTTTCTGTTTTCGTACGTACATTTCGTATGCACTCAGTTTCTTTGAAACCGCGTCCAGTTATTTTAGCAATAGTTAAGTATTCTGTTGAACGATTCAAAAAAGGAAACTAGAGCAATAAAAGTGCGGTATATATAAAAAAGAAACGGGTTCTACATTATTTTGGTAAATTTAGTTTATTTCATTTCCTTTTTAGAGTTTAAAGAAAATTTTCGTACAATTTATGTGTGGTAGAAATTTTTCTAGTCATTTGACATAAATGAGAAAGCACTTGTGATATATGATTGTTGTCCGCAATTTATTTTGACTGTTTGTTTAGTTTATTTCAACATTGTCGTGGAATTCTTCTTTTTGTAATATTTTTCCAAAGCTAATAAACGTTTTGCTTTAGGATAAACGCAATTTCTAGTTTTAGATGGAGACGGCGAAGAGCGGGAAAATATCGTGTATTAGTTGTGACTTTTTTTTGAAACTGAGTGTAGAATAGTCAGATATTATAGAGTAAAAAAAGAAAAAAAATAATTTAGGACATAAGTTACTTTTACTGTACATATAAGCAAAAACTTTTATTTATTTTGTTATCAGTATTGTAATAAATGCGTATTAAATGATTTATTTTTCATTTTTGTCCACGCTATCTTTTTAATTTTTCACACTTTTCTCGCCAACAAATATTATCCGCATTTTTCAAACGCGATTCGGTTCCAAATTACGTTTTTCTTACTTTTACACGAAGTGGATAACACGTTGTTGAGGTGCCAAATTTTGAAGCTTCGTATTTATTAAATTTTTATACCTTTGTAATATTTGTAAATCTAATGAATTTGATATTCATATGTATGTGCAATACAAATGACAGATCTACTAGATACTTATTTATAATATTATAACTACTAATGTAATATAGTAATTAAAAAAAGTTGTCAAATCAAACCTTTTTATAGATAAATTGTTTTTCATTTTTATTTTTCAGTTTCATTTTGTCTATACATGTATAATGAAGTTTATTTTATTTCCTTTTTTATATTTATTTGATGTCTGCCTGATATTTAATAAGATTGACTAAATAAATTTATTAGAAAAATATAATGATGATTTTTTTTTTATTTTAATACCAATTTTATCACTGATTATTGAACTACAAAAAAAATCTAGTTACAACGATATACAGGTGTCCCGTATCTTCCGCATCAGAGCATTATACCGTTGTAGGATACATTCTGAAGCGATCTTTCTAATAAAATTTTTCAAAATGTTTATAATAAAAACACGGGAACTGTTTAAAATACCGATTCAACAAAAGCTTAAGGAAACGCCCTCGGCCGATCCGCCGCGCCGTTCATAACTCGTTTCTCAAGTATACTCACCAATAGGTTCGACACAGAAAGAGAAATAAACTTTTTCCGTGAATTCGTGAATCCGCTATTGGACATTTTTAAACAGTTCCCTTGCGGTTATTATAAGCAAGATACGGGACACTCTTTTTTTCATTGAATTTTGAGAAAAATATGAAAATTAAATGAATTCGTAGTTTGCCATGTTGTGATATATCGTACAAATAATGTCGAAATATCTATTGTGACAACTAAAGTGAAACATACTGTATAATATATATACCCGTAAAAATTTTGACAATGAACAAATTTGAATATAAATGCTAATTAGCATATTTATGTAATTTTATTTCATCCTTGACTCAATCTGATGATTGCTTAAAATAAACAAAGACCGGTTCTAAGATTGAAAATATAAATAATACACTCATCGTGTTAATTTAAAAAAACGACGAATAATTTAACCAATAAATCACGTTAAACGTTTAAAAATCTAAACAAACAGCGTGAATCTGCTTTCACATCAAAAAGCTTACCACTTCTTTGTGAAAGTTTGACCGCGCGGTCATGGTCACAACAATCGCCATTGGAGACAAACTTTCACACAGGTCGTTGAGCAATAAACGATATATTTACCAAAGCCAAATTTACACTCGATACAAAATTTCACAAAAATTAAAAAAAATTATTTCATTCACGTTTTATGTTGCGATCGTTTCCTTCGAAATTCTTCTTCGGTTTTCCGCATGATTTCAATTTCTTGAAGTCGCTGCAGTTCCCTAATTTCAACTTCGCGGCCGAGTTTTTCCGCTAATTTTCTTCTTTCGATTTGTCTGATGGTGTTTTGAAACGAAAATTTTTTATGGTTAGTTTTTTCGATGGGATTTGAAACGTTTGTTGGATTTCCACTTGGTAAATACATAATCCTCCCTTTTCTTCGTCGCGATTCATCTTCTAACGAGTTAAAACCGTTGTTTAAAGAATTCGGGGCGGATTTACTTAAAAACCAATTGGTGTTTTGAAACGAAGTTTCAAACAAATCAGGTACGCGTAACCCGGTTAAAATTGATTTATTTAAATCACGCTCACGCGGTAGTGATAAGCTGAAGATATGGGGAAAAGTAAACGATGGTGTTGATGTTGTTTCATCGTCGATGCTTGAATCGTTTCCTAAATCTTGTTGAGGTGTCCAAGATTTTTCTTTTCCGTATTTATTAAAAGTTTTTGGGCTATCATCGCCGGAAATTCCCGAATCACCCGATTTATCTTGGAGATAAATTTCTGAACGCAAAACCGCCGTTTCGATTATTTTAGCTTCTAAAAGTTCTTGCTCGGAAATATCATCGCGGGATGTTTCTTGATCGCTTTGATTTTGAGACGATAACGAATCAACTCGCAATAATTTCCACGCCGAGCCAGGTGAAAATCTTGGGGTTTCTAACCGCTTTTTTGGAAGATGTGGTCGCAATCTTAAAAGAATTTTTTCTTGGTCAATTTCGTAATCTGAATCTGACGAATTTGGGTTCAATTGAGGTTTATCCATTCCGAAATAAAATCGTTTTTTTTCGTCGGCGAAATTATTTTCTTTGAAATTGTTGTTATTAATAATTACATTTTGTGTTTGGAGATTTTCGGCGGTGTTTTTTGTGTTTTTGCTTTCAATTCTTGTTTTGTATAATCTTTTGGTTCTAAAATCTTGATCGACGGGTCTTGGTGGTGCTTTGTATTTTTTTGGGCGTGTGTAAGCAAGTGTTTTCTTTTCGAATTGGGGGTTTTTCCTTAAATCGGGTTCGGAACCGTAAAATTTTTCCCGGGAAATCCGCGCCCTCGACAAAGTCCCCCCGGCTTGGAGGATGTCCCCATTTTCGGTTTGTCTTAATGTCGAATTTGTTGATCTTATTGGTAGCACTTTAGTTCTGGGGGGTTCTTGGGGGTACTTTTGCATTGTTATTACTTGGCTGTTTACGTTACCCATAATCTGTTTTAAATAATTAGGTTATTATTGTGTTAATAAATGGTTTATTTATTTACCTGTTTATTTTCCAAAAACTGTGTGGGTTTGAATGTCGGAAGCAGTAAACTTTCTTGTCGGATAGTGATTGAGCGACTCAAAGGTTCATTTTCAAGTTGATCGCTTTCTAGTGGCCAAGCCTCCCGTTCGCGGTGACGATAAACGAGTGAAAACGAAGAACCGAGCACCTGCAGCAGACGGCACTCTCGATGACCAATTTGAATACAAACGGCGGATCTTTCGCACAGCCCAACACCATCAATGGGAAGATGCGGAGACTCTCACTTTTGTTTTAAACCAGAAACCAATTAATTTTTTTTACAAAACAATATTAGAAAATCGAATCGAAAAAACCGTTTTATTCCAAACTAATTCTTTTTTGGATGTTTTTTTTTTTTAGATTTCGAAATTCGGAAAGACTTTCGTAATGAAGACATCCGACTTAGAATTGCATCGCCGTTCCGTTTCGTTGAAACTCTTTCCGCTTTTTTAAGTAATAAGTTAGAAATTTTATTTATGACATTCCAACAGAAACTTGGTTATTATTATTACATTAGGAGATCTTTAAAATTAATTAAATTTTATCGTAATATAAAATAAAATATATAATATAAAATTATTATTATATAAATTTTTATATAATTTTATATATAATATGAAATTATTACTATTATAATATAAGTTTTTATATAATTTTATATATAATATGAAATTATTATTATTATTATAATATAAAAAAAAAACAATTTTATATATATTATAAAATTATTATTACTACAATACAAATTTTTATATAATTATATATATAATATAAAATTAAAAGTTTTTAGATAAAAAATTTGTTGAATTATTCATCGATACCTCTTCCTTACAATATAATTGTATTAATCAAAAATATTATTGTTGATTTAAATCAATAGTGTGATTTTTTAAAAGCTTTTACTTGTTGACCCAAAAAATAAATAAATTTTATATATTTATATATATATAAATAAATTAATATATATCGTTCTTCATGAACTTTATTTGTTAAATTTTAATAAAAATATAAGAACAAAATAAAAAAAGAGTTATAGTAATAAGAAGATGTTAGATGTAGTAAATCGATAAATAGCTGTAAGGGTTGCGCGCGTCGTCGCGTAACTTCGGGTTAAAACGTAAAAGTGGGGGTTTTCCATAGTGAGATGATATCAAGGGGTTGTTCGGTAAACGTTTTCCCATCAATTTTCCTCGCGGATTAGAATCAATTTCTCATCATGATCCATGTTGATGTGGGTTTTTAATAAGTCGGTGAAAATGTTTGATTCGGTAATTCGGGGATGTTCGCAGTGGCGTCGCAAGGGGTTGTTGTACGGTAGCGACACCATTCGGGAAAACTGAAGTGGTGGCGGTTTCATTGCGCAAGCTACTACGTTACCTCGTCCTAAAAATAGATTTAGGAAGTCGGGTGTGTACTCGAACGCGTTCGGAGAACCGCGACGGCTCCGGTTTCCACTTATTTTCCCGGAACCGTTAAGACGCGTATACCCGGTTTTCCGTACGGATTTCGGGGGCCCGGTTTTTCCGGGGGGTGAGTTCCCCGGCTATTTTTTAACCGGTGGGCGATCGATCGACTTCAAAGGTCCAGTAGAAAAGCAGCCCCCCTTTTCTGCCGAACTGTTATCAAGGCAACATATTTAAATGTACAATAGGAATGTGATTTGATAAAGGGAAAATTCGTGTAAAAAATGTCGAGGGTTTTTAAAATCCCGATTCTAGTTATTTTCCTGCTCGTCTCAATGCTTGTGTTGCCGGTTACTTTGGAACAGGACGAAGACATTCCTCATAACGAGTAAGCATTCATTTTTTTATTAGTAATTATTATCCAAAAATATTTTGGACAATTTCGTTACTCTAAGAATCGGAAATCTAAGGTTGCGTTAAGCTGCTAATTCCTTACGACTATGGCAGGTACGGTAAAGGTATCGATCGATCTAACGTTAAATTATAATACTCATATGGAGAGTAAGTAATTGGCCATTTAAGTGGATTTGACGATTTCAATGATTTATCAAACTAAAACACAAATTAAAATTTTTAATAAATTTCAACAGGTTTTGTTATAATCAATATTAATCTTTACTTCGATCAATTAAATTCCATATTTTTAATCATAATTGTAATAAATAACGTTTTGACCCAACCCAATCTTTATAATTACTCCTGAAGATGGTCAATTAGACAGAAACTTTTTTATTTCATTTTTTTAATAATTTAATATCAATTACTACTTTTTCTATTTTCTGAACTAAGATGTTCTCGTTTTAGAGTAAAAAATTGGGCGTTAAAGTTTGGTGTCGACCTCTGGGAATACGGCAGGCAACTGACAAGAATGAACGAATTGCAGAGAGTAAATAATATTTATTAAAAAGTAATCTACTTATTAATTTCTTTCATCATTATTAGAAATATCATGAAGTTGAATTGGATATAGAAAGAAAAGATGGGTTATTGCTTATCCGGGAAATGGCAGCTGAAGTCAAGAACATGATGGACTTTAAGATGAGTGCAGTGATGGTAAGAAAATAATTTTAGAAGTTTTCAAAAAAACGTCGTAAATCGTAGCTTTCATAAATTTTTATATGTAAATTTAACACATCGTTATGAAATTATCAGCATTTATTATACAAATCATAAGCTTTCCAATGACCGAAACGGATTTTTAAAATATCTCTTAGTTTTTGAGATATTAATCTTTAAACGTAATAAGGCATTTTAGCATAAATAATCATTTTCAAAAAATCGTAATAAATCGTAAATTTAACACATCGTTATGAAATTATCAGCTTTTATTATACAAATCATAAGCTTTCCAATGACCGAAACGAATTTTGAAAATATCTTTTAGTTTTTGAGATATTAATCTTTAAACGTAGTAAGGCATTTTAGCATATAAACATTTTCAAAAAATCGTAAATTTAACACATCGTTATGAAATTATCAGCATTTATTATACAAATCATAAGCTTTCCAATGACCGAAACGGATGTTTAAAATATCTTTTGGTTTTTGAGATATTAATCTTTAAACGTAATAAGGCATTTTAGCATAAATAATCATTTTAAAAAAATCGTTAATTTAACACATCGCTATGAAATTATCAGCATTTATTATACAAATCATAAGCTTTCCAATGACCGAAACGGATTTTTAAAATATCTCTTAGTTTTTGAGATATTAATCTTTAAACGTAATAAGGCATTTTAGCATAAATAATCATTTTCAAAAAATCGTAATAAATCGTAAATTTAACACATCGTTATGAAATTATCAGCATTTATTATACAAATCATAAGCTTTCCAATGACCGAAACGTATTTTTAAAATATCTTATAGTTTTTGAGATATTAATCTTTAAACGTAATAAGGCATTTTAGCATAAATAATCATTTCCAAAAAATCGTAAATTTAACACATCGTTATGAAATTATCAGCATTTATTATACAAATCATAAGTTTTCCAATGAACGAAACAGATTTTTAAAATACCTCTTAGTTTTTGAGATATTAATTTTTAAATATAACAAGATTTTTCTCAAATTCTTTAAAAAAAAAGTATTAATGAATTGTTACATTCTTTTATGACACTACTTTTGTTTGATTTAAAGCGAATTATGGATTCTGCCGAACAAATTGCATTAACACCTCAAAATGATAATGGAAACATAAAATATTTCAATGCAAAAAAGTTAAATATTTTCGGGCACGATGGAAAACCCGCTGATGGTTCGCGGGAGATGATGTTGACGGCAAATCCTCATTTTGATTATTTACCAGTAAACACTTCGTTTAGTTCGGTTCTTATTCCAAGTGATATTCATGAATCAGGTAGAAAAATTGTGAAGAAAAATGTGTTCGTTTTGAAACCGTTTTAATTTTTAGATCCTGATGTGATTAATTCAATTCAACGTTCTGAACATTTAGATCCGTTATTTGTTAATAATTACGAAGACGATCCATCTTTATCATGGCAATATTTCGGAAGTTCTTCCGGTTATTTAAGAAGATATCCTGGTAACACTTCATCTTTACATAGTAATAAAATTAATAAATTTTGGTTATTTCATTTTAGCCATCGCTTGGCCACCAGAAGAAATGTCTACTGCTTGGCAACGCTCTTCCGAAGATAGAAATGTTTATGATTTTCGCCGCACTGCTTGGTATGTTACAGCAGCAACATCGCCAAAAGACATCGTAATTTTAGTGGATTCATTAACGGCATCTAGTGGAAGACATTTGGCAATAACAGACGCAATAGTTACGGCTATTTTAGACACGTTAACTAACGATGATTTCGTAAATATTTTCAAATTTTCCGAAATCGCCGAAGAAAGCGTTCGGTGTTTCCAAGATGTTTTGGTGCAAGCCAACAATGAAAATAAACGTTGGTTGAGGGAATCTATAAAAAGTCTTCGAGCCGATGACATTGATAAACAAGATTTTACTAACGCTTTAATTAAAGGATTTGAAATTTTGCACAAAGTGAGTCAAAATAAAATTTTAAACGATTTAAGTTAATTAAGTGTATTTTTTTAATTAGTATAATAGAACAGGACAAGGATGTCAATGCAACCAAGCTATAATGTTAATCACCACTGAAGCTTCCTCAAAACATAAAGAATTGTTCAAGAAGTACAATTGGCCACATAAACCAGTCAGGATTTTTACCTATTTGGTTGGATCTGAAAGTGCGAGCGTTGAAGATCTGCATTGGATGGCTTGTAGCAATAAAGGTCGTCTCAATCGCCAATTATTATTCATTTATTAACGAAAAGTTAAACTGACGCTTTTTTAATGTATCTTTTATATAGGTTACTACACACGAGTGTCGAAACCTGATGAGGCAAAGCAGCAAGTGTTGCGTTACATTGAAGTCATGGCTCGACCTGTTGTTATGTATCAAAACGATCATCCCATTCAATGGACGTCTGCTTACGTTGGAGGAAGAGTAAGTTGTAGTTTTGAAGTTAAATTAAAAAATTAATAAAAAATTTTCTTTTAGAAGGATAGTTTAGGTGGTGGAAATCAAGGACAACTAATGACATCTGTCACAACGCCTGTTTTCGATAGAAGAAATCATTCGGTACTTATTTATTATAAATTATTAATTAAAATTTAAAAATTACAAAAAAAATTTATTTGTTTTAAGATGCGCGCTGCTAATATCTTAGGAGTAGTTGGAACGGACGTTTCTGTGGAACAAATTAAGAAACTCGTGCCTCCATATAAAGTAATACAAAAAATTTTTCTAAATTAATTATTAATTAATTATTTTTTTAGTTGGGTGTAAACGGTTACTCTTTTATCGTAAACAACAACGGGCACGTTTTGTATCACCCAGATGTTAGGCCCTTGGTAAATATTAATCATTTTTTTCTCTAAAAAAATTTTGCAAAAACCTTATTAATTTTTAGTACGGAAATAGACAGTACGAAAGCACTTTAGAACCGACTTACGTTACTGTTGATTTATCCGAGTTAGAGCTAGTCGAAGCGGAAAATGGGCCTAGAGAGAATCACTCGGCACTTCTTGAGGTAACCAAGAATAATATTGATCAAAATTATTTATTAATTTAATTTATTTTTTAGTTAAGACACGATATGATTGATCAAAAAGAAGGCGAGACCGAGTTAACAGTGAAAATTCATTATGATAATATGGTGAGTAATTTTTTTTTTAATATATAATTATCATACCCGACGTCATCATTGCAAGTATGCAACTAATATTACAGTACTGGTATTACAATACACGATTTGAATATTTGGTTGCATACTTGCAGTTCTTGAGAAATAAATTTTTGAAATATATATATATATTAAGCAATACTTTTATTAATAAATTAATTTATTTATAGAGACGAGTTACAACACGTCGCCATAAATATTTTTACAACCCCATTGAAGGAACACCATTTTCTTTGGGGTTGGCAATTCCGGAAGGTTATGGAATGTATCAATTAAGAGCTGAACAAGAAGTAAAAAGAAGTCAGAAGAATGGTAAATAAAGTTAAGATATAAAAATGTGGTTGTTAATGTGATTTATGATTATAGTTGAAGAATATTTCAAAGGAAATAATTGGAAAGTTCATCCAGATTGGGTTTATTGTGAATATACAAATGGGCCATCTGGTGGCGATCAAGGATTTAGTACAGCTGAAGAACGAGTTCTTCATTTTCTTTCAAGAAGTAGAAGGCCGGGGTGGAAATGGATGTCTTTAAGACCAAGATCGCCATCGCAAAGGGATCATTACCATCCAACTAATAAACAAGATAAAGATGCGTATTATTGTATGTTTTAGATTTATTGAAAATTTTGAAATTGGAATAAAACAGGAATTTATTGTAGGTGATAAAACTTTGTTGCAATCGCTGGTGTTGGATGCAATGGTTACTGAAGAATTAGAAAGACATGCTTCGAGACCACCTTACACTGAAGAAAATAATCAGTAAGTATTAAATGTTTAGTTTAGAACAAATGTTTTTCCAAAAAATGTAGTGCATGGATAGATAGTGTTGAAGCACAATTCTATGTTTAATAACGAACTATTAATTAATTAATTAATTATGTATCTTTGCACATTAGCCCGATTGCAACACTTTTGGTTTTATTGCAAAGGTAAAGTTATTTACGGGTATTTGTTGTAACATATGACTTTTTTATTTGTTTGTCTAAAAAATATTCGTTTTAATTCGAGCACAATCATGTTTTATTGCTCGGCATGAGTGTTTTTTACATGATTTCAACTTTTACCATATTTTTGATTAATTCACCAAAGAAATCATGTAAAACATATTTTTCGTCGTGTTTAAATCATTTTTAATAAGCACGCAGGAGATGTAAGTATAAATAATTATATTAAAACATGTTATTATTAAAACAGCATTTCAACGATCCAGATCCAGGTCTCCTTGTATAAAGAAATGGCATATATCATAAAATCATGAATTAAGTTTCTTCAGACAGCTTGACAAAAAGAGGATTACATAATCATTTGTTTCCGATTTAATCGTTCCGTTCTAATCTAGTTTTATTTACAGTCAAGGCTTCCATATGTTCGGATTAACGCTATCGTTCGTTGCTACAAGAAGTGGATTATTACGATGGACGGATCATACTCCACCGGAACAAAACCAACAGTGAGATTGAATTGTATCTGAACTATTCAAATATAATTTTTGTTGTATTAGACATTTTAGTCAAAGTAATGTAAGAGCGATAGATGAAGTTTGGTACAAAAGAGCGGTTGATCAGCACGCGATTGAACCTGAAAGTTTTGTCTTTTCCGTACCTTTCGATGTCAAAGCAACCTCTAAGTCTTTAGTAACAGCCACTCACGCGGTTTTTGTTGAACACGGTGGTCATCGAGCTCCGGCTGCTGTTGTTGGGTTGCAATATCAACACAGCACTTTGGCTTCCCATTTTATTAACATTACTTCCGCGGTAAATAAATTGTGCCAAAAAGCGAATTATATGGAATGAAAGTATCATTTTTTAGTGCACCGGTCCTTCTGCTTGTCGCAAAACTTGTGCCAGTACTGAATTGGATTGTTATATCTTAGATAATAATGGGTTCATTATTATTTCTGAAAATTCTGAACATACCGGAGTATTTTTTGGGCACATCGATGGGACCATTATGGATTCTTTAGTTCAAGATAGAATTTATAATAAGGTTACTGTTTATGATTACCAAGGAAGCTGCGCTAGCAAACGCGATTATTTCAGCGGATCTGCAACACCAATTAAAGTAAATTTTTATTTTTCTTAAATCTCCAATAATTAATTATAACTATTTATTAGAAAGCATCGTTCCTAAATATCTGGTTAACAAACTTCCTAACTTTTTGGGCTGGTATTATACATTACGTACAAGGAATAGCCATATCATATACTCAAGACCCAGGTAAATCCGAATCAAACCAAAAATCCAAATAAATTTAATACTAATTAATTTTAAGATGCATATCTCGATTACGATCCCGATGATATATATCGACCGGACGATATTGTGGATGAATCCGAGATCGGTCATACACATTATACAATTTCAAATGGTCCAACTTACATATCGGATAATGACGCACAAATGGATAACATGGATAGAAGTGAAGATACCGTCCGACCGTGCGATAGGAAAGTTGATTTGTACGTGTTGCAACCTGATAGATTAAATACTAGTGGACAAAGCAATCCGTTGAAAGGAAAATTAACTAATTGTCATGTAACAGGATGTGAAAGGTAAATATTATGTTATAAAAAATTTCTTAAAGAACTTCCATCTTGGTTTTTGCCGTCGTAGTCGAGATATCGTGTACACATATATTATTTAGGAGAAGGGATAGTGGAGATCTTTGTGCCAGACTACTTTTATTCTTGTCATTTTCTCCTGGAAGTACCTTATCTTCAGAAAGGATGCCTAGGTTCCCTTCCCAGGCTGGCTTTGATCATTTTTGCAAACAGGCCATCTTTCCAGACGGAGTTGTAAGCCTTCACAACATTTAATAGCATCAGAATCAACTTATGTTTTTTGTTCTGAACAAGCTCCTCATCATATTCATTACTAACAGTACTGTCGCTGTTATCACTTTCGATTATTAATTAAAGCATCCTCTTTTTAATGCAACAAGCCGTTTTGAAAAATCGCTTTTAGTTATTGAGAAATAAATTTTTGAAATGACCGAATTTTGCAATTTTCGCCGATTAAGTTTTAAAAATTCGTATAAAATCCATTTCTTGGAATATGAATTTGAAAATTTCCCTAAATGTTAATAAAAGTGTCCTCTTTTCAATGAACCAACCCGTTTTGAAAAATAACTTTTAGTTTTTGAGAAAACAATATTTGAAGTTGCAATTTTCATCAATTATTAAATAAAGTAAATCGCTTCAGAAATTATTAATCTCCTTCTGGAAGTCAATAATTCATCTTCTTGTTCAACTTTAAAGTGTTTGCCCGAGATATACGATGTTAATATCTCTATATTAAGTATTGCTTGGGAAATATTTTTGATTTAATTAAATTTATTTTTTTGTTTTAGACCATTTAGTGTACAAAAAGTACCACATAGTAATTTAATATTGCTCGTTGTGGATACATTGTGCCCATGTGGTAGTAAACAATTAAGTATTACGCCTCAAGAATTAATTTATGATAATGGTAATGGAAGGTGTTTACATAAACCTAAAGAGAGTTTGTACAGAAGGCGCCCACCAAAGTGTATTAATTATCATCCGGAGGTAATCGAGAAGTATTTTATTATTTTATTATTTTTTTACATTTTATTTATTTGCAGGAGATTGAAATTTCTCTTTGCGGTTCAGTATCGCGTGTAACGTCGGCATTCGGCGTGTTTACAACGTTAACAATAACGTTATATTTAATCCTGTCGTGATTTACTATAGAAGAGTCGTACGTTCTGTTGGCGTGATCTGAGAAAGTTGCGTGACGAAAATTTTAAAAGAATAATAAAAAAAAAGTTGTAAGAAAGAAAAAAATAATTAAAAAAAATGTAATACAGAAAGTATATTTAAAAAAAAGTATCTTCAAATATTTGTAACTCTAGTTAAAGTTTTTTATATAATTTATATTTGATAAGTGTCGTTTTTCTTTTTCAGCGTATTTTGTACATATCAAGCATAAACCGATGTGTTGTTAAGCGGCCACTATTAGAGATAAATGTGAAAGGGTAAAACACAGTGATGACAATAACTACTTAGGTTGACAAAAAAGACTTTCGAAAATCTGACAAAAAAAATTTATCAAAAAAAAAATATAATTATTATTATAATAATAAAGATGAAAAAAGGACAGTATACACACGTATATACATATATATACATTCACGCGATCATATTGTATAGATTATACACCCGTTATATATGTATATAGGTTGAAGTTTTGACGTCAATGTACATATCGTGGCTTTGTGCGTAATTAACAAAACTAGTTAAAAGAAAAAAACTTAAAACTGTAAGATCCCCTTCCCTTTTTCCTTCGGGCATAGTAGTGAATTAAATCTTTTTTAGCTATTTAAATAGCTTCACTACTATTGCGAACAGCGTCGAGTTCTCAAACCGCCAATTGGATAATATACCGTGTGAACAAAATATTCAAACAGTAAATAAAATACGTTTAGGTTCAATATGTATACATACTCGTTGAGGGTTTTTGGAAGTCGCGTTATACTTCCAACTTCCTATTTAAAAAAAAAAACATGAAATGTAACTCTAACTGTAATTTAAGCTTTGGGCTTAAGTATAACATTAAATTTACCGGAGATAAACTAAAAATGAGAAGAAAAAATATGATGATGATGATCCTACAATATAGTAAGTTTGATACATCAATTTTTAAGATAGACCATATCAATGGAAAAATGTAACTACGTTATAACGCTAAAACCGAGTCTTCCAATAAACAAATAATAAATTGTAAGTTATGTAAAATTGTAGAAAAGATGTTAGCGTTTAAAAAATATATATTGATTTTTTCCGGTCGCTGGAAACAGTTTTTATGCCTTATCGTTTTCTCTTTATCTTGTACATCGGTTATTACGTATATTGTCGTAATAGACCTATTACACTCTTATCTAAAACAAATTGCATAGATTTAATTAAATTATACTATATTTATATGCGTTTTTATTTCATTCCATCATTATTATTTTTATACCAACCTCGCGATCCTTTCACAATAAATTAAAAATAAATCTTGAAAATTTGCTTTTTATAATAAATTGTTTTTTATTTCATAATGATATCTCAATTAGTTTTTGAGATACACAAAATTAATTATCGTAAAATTTTTGTTTAAAATTAAGCAAGGTTGAGTTCAAAAAATCATAATTTATAAATTTGAAGATTCCAAAAAATGATCTTCAAAACATTAAACAACAAAGAAATTTGCTTTAAATTGTTTTTTATTTCATAATGATATCTCAATTAGTTTTTGAGATACACAAAATTAATTATCGTAAAATTTTTGTTTAAAATTAAGCAAGGTTGAGTTCAAAAAATCATAATTTATAAATTTGAAGATTCCAAAAAATGATCTTCAAAACATTAAACAACAAAGAAATTTGCTTTAAATTGTTTTTTATTTCATAATGATATCTCAATTAGTTTTTGAGATACACAAAATTAATTATCCTAAGATTTTTGATTAAAATTAAACAAGGTCGAGTTCAAAAAACCATAACTCCAAAATTTGACGGTTAAAAAAAATGATCTTCAAAACATTAAACACAAAAGAAATTTGCTTTAAATTGTTTTTTATTTCATAACGATATCTCAATTAGTTTTTGAGATACACAAAATTAATTATCCCAAGATTTTTGATTAAAAATAAGCAAGGTTGAGTTTAAAAAATCATAACTCCAAAATTTGAAGTTTCCAAAAAATGATCTTCAAAACATTAAACACCAAAAAAATTTGCTTTAAATTGTTTTTATCTCATAACGATATCTCAATTAGGTTTTGAGATACACAAAATTAATTATGCTAAGATTTTTGTTTAAAATTAAGCAAGGTTGAGTTTAAAAAATCATAACTTGAAAATTTGAAGTTTCCAAAAAATGATCTTCAAAACATTAAACACCAAAGAAATTTGCTTTAAATTGTTTTTTATTTCATAATGATATCTCAATTAGTTTTTGAGATACACAAAATTAATTATCCTAAGATTTTTGATTAAAATTAAGCAAGGTTGAGTTCAAAAAATCATAACTCCAAAATTTGAAGTTTCCAAAAAATGATCTTCAAAATATTAAACACCAATGAAATTTGCTTTAAATTGTTTTTTATTTCATAACGATATCTCAATTAGTTTTTGAGATACACAAAATTAATTATCCTAAGATTTTTGATTAAAATTAAGCAATGTTGAGTTCAAAAAATCATAATTTGTAAATTTGAAGTTTCCAATAAATGATCTTCAAAACATTAAACACCAAAGAAATTTGCTTTAAATTGTTTTTTATTTCATAACGATATCTCAATTAGTTTTTGAGATACACAAAATTAATTATGCTAAGATTTTTGTTTAAAATTAAGCAAGGTTGAGTTCAAAAAATCATAACTCCAAAATTTGAAGTTTCCAATAAATGATCTTCAAAACATTAAACACCAAAGAAATTTGCTTTAAATTGTTTTTTATTTCATAACGATATCTCAATTAGTTTTTGAGATACACAAAATTAATTATGCTAAGATTTTTGTTTAAAATTAAGCAAGGTTGAGTTTAAAAAATCATAACTCCAAAATTTGACGGTTAAAAAAAATGATCTTCAAAACATTAAACACCAAAGAAATTTGCTTTAAATTGTTTTTTATTTCATAATGATATCTCATTTAGTTTTTGAGATACACAAAATTAATTATGCTAAGATTTTTGTTTAAAATTAAGCAAGGTTGAGTTTAAAAAATCATAACTCCAAAATTTGAAGTTTCTAAAAAATGATTTTCAAAACATTAAACACCAAAGAAATTTGCTTTAATTTGTTTTTTATTTTATAACGATATCTTAATTAGTTTTTGAGATATACTCCTAAGATTTTTGTTTAAAATTAAGCAAGATTGAGTTCAAAAAATCATAACTCCAAAATTTGACGGTTAAAAAAAATGATCTTCAAAACATTAAACACCAAAGAAATTTGCTTTAAATAGTTTTTTATTTCATAATGATATCTCAATTAGTTTTTGAGATACAGAAAATTAATTATGCTAAGATTTTTGATTAAAATTAAGCAAGGTTGAGTTCAAAAAATCATAACTTCAAAATTTGAAGTTTCCAAAAAATGATTTTCAAAACATTAAACACCAAAGAAATTTGCTTTAATTTGTTTTTTATTTTATAACGATATCTCAATTAGTTTTTGAGATACACAAAATTAATTATCCTTACATTTTTGTTTAAAATTAAGCAAAGTTGAGTTCAAAAAGTCATAACTTGAAAATTTGAAGTTTCCAAAAAATGATCTTCAAAACATTAAACACCAAAGAAATTTGCTTTAATTTGTTTTTTATTTTATAACGATATCTCAATTAGTTTTTGAGATATACTCCTAAGATTTTTGTTTAAAATTAAGCAAGATTGAGTTCAAAAAATCATAACTCCAAAATTTGAAGTTTCTAAAAAATGATTTTCAAAACATTAAATACTAAAGACATTTGCTTTAAATTGTTTTTTATTTCATAATGATATCTCAATTAGTTTTTGAGATACACAAAATTAATTATGCTTAAATTTTTGTTTAAAATTAAGCAAGGTTGAGTTCAAAAAGTCATAACTTGAAAATTTGAAGTTTCCAAAAAATGATCTTCAAAACATTAAACACCAAAGAAATTTGCTTTAAATTGTTTTTTATTTCATAACGATATCTCAATTAGTTTTTGAGATACACAAAATTAATTATCCTTAAATTTTTGTTTAAAATTAAGCAAGGTTGAGTTCAAAAAATCATAACTCCAAAATTTGAAGTTTCCAAAAAATTATTTTCAAAACATTAAATACTAAATAAATTTGCTTTAAATTGTTTTTTATTTCATAACGATATCTCAATTAGTTTTTGAGAGACGATATTTTAAATTTGTATTAATAAAGTCTTAATAATTAAATATGCAGAGTTAAAAAAAAAGATAATAACAACATTGTGGACAAAATGAAAGAGTTTTCATAAACACCCACGCGTAAAGATTCAAAGTAATAAGGATCTCCACGCGCATGTCTCCCTGATCTAATGATTTGTTTCGCCTGAAATTTCATGCCTCCTCGTTGGGTTAACAGTCGATATCTGGTCGTCGACGAAAGAATTTCAAGCTGAAACTACAAAAAATAGTGTGGGACGTGTTATAAGGCCAACGAATCGGAGGTAAGAATCAATACTTAAGAATTTTTCAATTTCTTTTGATCATTTTTTAACCCAGCTTTATCGAGATTGGAACGATTGGCATGCATGCAGTCTGTTGACTGATGTTAAAGTATCTTCGAGCGATGGGATAGCAGCTGATGCTTCTAGATTTTAAAAGTGGGTGAGATAAGAGTATAAGGGTTTAAAAAGGTTTCGAAAAATAATCGTCGTCTTTTGTTTGTCGTACCTTGCCGTCTTCACTTTGTAAGGACGATCAATACTATTTTCGCACCCCTTTGTTACATTTTTTTATTCATTTTATTAAACGAAATTTGATCGATTTTACAAAGTGGAGATACTTAATAAATTCGAAAGATGTGGTGAAGTTTTTTTTAATACAGTGTTCTTTGTCTTGTCCTTGGAGAATAGAAGCCATAAAAAAATCGTAAAAGAAAAGTATTTTTTTAATGTACTGTATTATATACTAGATTTTTTTTAATTTTATTGTATTTCGTTCGTTTTATTTCAAAGAAAATTGAACATTAACTTTTAAACAACATTCCCGTCGAGCTTTCAGTGTGGTAGTGGGGAGCGTGCGATCATTTTCCGATGAACGGCAACCCGAAAGCGCAAGCTCCCTGAAAGCTCACCGATTGGTCTGAAAGTGCGTTAATGAATTTAGTCCACACGGCAAAACATCGTTGGCCTGAAAGCGCGCAGTGCGTCAAAGCTCCCTACCGAGCTGCTTTCGAAAAGATTAAAAACGGTCTTCCCGTTTCCGGTAATTTGTGTGCAGGTTGACGTGCTCAGACTGGTTAGGATAAGATGATCGACCCGTCATCATCTGAAGAGGATAGCGAGGAGGAACATTTAACCCATCATCCGAGTGGTCATCATCATGGATCGCATCATCATCACCCCGTAAGTTTTTTTGACGTTATCTTTTTAATTAATCTTTTATAAATAAATAGGTGGAAAATTTTAGATTAGCCCACCGTATCTATATGTGTTATCAAAGTTGAAACGAGGTTAGGTTTTCGCAATCAATTTTGTTATCTTTTTTCTGCGCCAGGCGGAGTCTTCACCATATCACCATCATAGCCAATCGGAATCGGGCAGCGGAAACTTAGAAGTCCCCAATAACCCTGCGACATTGTCGAGATCGCTATCACCTTCAAGTGCTGTATCCGTAGAAACGTTGAATCATAGCGTAGGTTCATCGCGGGCGAACTCACTTCCAAGACCGACCAGTCCTTCACCATCAGTGGCCTCAGAGAAGACGGAGGTTGACCTGCAGGAAAAGCAGGAACGCGAAGAAGAGGAAAGGAAGAGGCGCCTGCAACTTTACGTCTTCATTTCAAGATGCATCGCGTACCCATTCAATGCGAAACAGCCGACGGACCTCACCAGGAGGCAGACGAAGATTACCAAACACCAACTCGAAACGATCACCGCAAGATTTCAAGTAAGAATATTTTTAGGATATAGGTCTTCAATGAAAGTACAAATAGAAGATTTAAGAAAAAAATCTCGATTGATTTGTTTTTGGATTCGTTTAGAGTTTCTTGAAAGGAGAAACGCAGATAATGGCGGATGAGGCCTTTCAAAATGCCGTTCAAAGTTATTACGACGTTTTTCTGAAGTCTGAAAGGGTAGTGAAAATGGTGCAGTCTGGTGCCTGTTCGCAATATGATTTTCGCGAAGTGTTCAGGAATAACATCGAAAAACGCGTCAGATCATTGCCAGAAATGGAAGGTCTAAGCAAAGAAACTGTGTTCACGTCGTGGATGGCTAAGTTTGATTGTATTTTGAAAGGTAGACATGATTTGAGATTAATCAACGGATGGATTCAAATGGTGTTTTCTTTTTTGTTTTGTTTCGGGGTTGAGCAGGATTGGGAGACGAAGATAAACGGCCATCCAGGAACCAGCAACAATCGTTGAACGCGGAACTGATTTTGTCAAAAGAACAGCTCTATGATATGTTCCAGCAGATTTTGGGAGTGAAGAAATTTGAACACCAATTGCTATTTAATGCACTGATGGTATCAAAGAAGTAACTCAGGTTAACGCAAAGGGCGTAATACGATTAATTGTAACGTTTTAGTTGGATTCGGCGGATGAACAAGCGGCAGCGATCCGGCGCGAACTCGACGGCAGGATGCAGAGAGTGAACGATATGGAGAAGGTATTAAAATCTTCATCGCTATAACAAAAAAACGAAAATGTACGAAACGAATTTTAGAACCGACGCCTCATGCCGCGATTCGTCCTTAAAGAGATGGAATCTTTGTATATAGAAGAGTTAAAGTCCTCGATAAATCTACTTATGGCCAATTTAGAAGCGCTACCCGTATCGAAAGGATCGATGGACTCAAAATACAGCTTGCAAAAACTAAAGCGCTATAACCACAGGTTGCACAACCATAATAAACCCTATACTGTGAAGCACCTTTTGATGAACTATGTTACTTCTTTTAGATCCCAGGGATCTTTAGCAAAATTAGAAGGAGATTCCGCTGATAGCGATACGCAACTAACTAAACTTGACGTTGTGCTCACCTTTCAGCTCGAGGTATTCTCAAAAGCTTTCATCCACTCACCAAATCAAACAACACATCCTCTTTCATATAACAATTTCAGGTCGTTGTAATGGAGGTGAAAGGCTTAAAATCTTTAGCCCCAAATCGCATAGTTTACTGCACCATGGAAGTGGAAAATGGCGAGAAGCTTCAAACCGATCAAGCAGAAGCTTCAAAACCCATGTGGGATACTCAGGGCGACTTTTGCACCACGCATCCATTACCATTTGTCAAAGTTAAACTTTACACCGAAAACCCCGGAATGTTGGCTTTAGAAGATAAGGAACTAGGAAAGGTTGTACTAAAACCAACTCCTCTATCTTCTAAGGTAATTAATTAATAAACATTCATATCAAAAATGTAACTTAATTCATTTTAGGCACCCGAATGGCATAAAATGACCGTTGCTAAAAACTTACCAGATCAAGATTTGAAAATAAAAATCGCCTGTAGAATGGATAAACCGTTAAACATGAAACATTGTGGGTACCTTTATGCGTTGGGAAAATCCGTTTGGAAAAAATGGAAAAAAAGATACTTCGTTCTCGTCCAAGTCTCACAATACACGTTCGCTATGTGCAGCTACAAAGAAAAGAAGTCAGAACCATCGGAAATGATGCAGTTGGATGGTTACACCGTTGATTACATAGAAGCAGCTAGTGGTAAGTCTTAGAATAATTAGTTCAACAAAAACAACTTTTTTGAAATTAATATAAAAAGTTGTTTTTCGTTATAATTTTCGCTTTGACACAAAATCTACAGTGAAATGACTGAATTTTCAAGCAAACTTAATGGTCGGAATGGGTAAGCGTAAGTTACTTCAACATATTAATTTGCCTCCGTTGGGACGCAACCAGCTCAATCTTGGATTTTCTAGATTTGGAGGGTGGTCGATTCTTTTTCAATGCAGTTAGAGAAGGTGATAGTGTCTTGTATGCCAGCGACGATGAAGGTGAATGTCAGTTATGGGTAACCGCGATGTACAGGGCAACTGGTCAATCGCATAAACCAACACCACCCATAACTCTTCAAGATAAAAATTCAACTATATCCAAAATACAAGGTAAGAAAAAAAAATTTGGCTATTAATGTATTAATTTAATAATTGTTTAGATGCTGATAGAGCGAGAAAACATGGTATGGAAGATTTTATATCAGCGGATCCTTGCACGTTTGATCATGCATCTTTATTCAAACTTTTGCAAAATCTTACTTTGGAGTATCGATTAAACGATCCTTATTCTTCATTGGTAAAAGAATTATTTTACATCACACACTAAATTAATTAACATCTTTTTTTGTGCTTATAGGGGTGGTTCAGTCCTGGACAAGTATTCGTTTTAGATGAATATTGTGCTAGATACGGTGTAAGAGGATGCTATAGACACCTTTGTTACCTTTCGGATTTGCTGGATAGAGCCGAAAAAAATGTGATGATAGATCCAACATTAATACATTACAGTTTTGCATTTTGCGCGAGCCACGTTCATGGTAACAGGTATGTAATGTCGATCGGTAGCTCTAAGTAGGAAATGAAAAGAATAATAACCTACACATAATACTAACAGTAATGACTTCAGACCAGATGGCGTAGGAAGCGTTACTTCCGAAGAAAAGGAAAAATTCAGGGATATCAAGGAACGATTAAGAGTTCTTCTTGAACACCAAATAACTGATTTTAGGTAATTTTTAAGTTTTATTTATCACCATCTTATTCTATTTTAATTCAAAATGAAGTTTTAATTTTTGAGAAAACAATATTTGCAGTTTTCAAATTATCCATTTCTTGGAATATAAGTTTGAAAATTTCTACATATACAGTATGTTTGATTTTAGTTGTCAAAACAGATATCTCGACTAATTTTATTACAAATTCACATTATTTGTATAAATACATAATGTGATAGATAGCAACAATAATCAGGATATCTGCTGTGACAGCTAGAATCTGTATACATTTATATATAAATATGTTGTTTAGGTATTGTTTTCCATTTGGTCGTCCAGAAGGTGCATTAAAAGCAACTCTTTCTCTATTAGAAAGAGTTCTTATGAAAGATATCGTAACGCCAGTACCACCAGAAGAAGTAAGAGCAATGATCAAGAGGAGTTTGGAAAAAGCTGCCTTGGTGAATTACACGAGGTTATCGGCGGAAGCAAAAATTGAAGGTAATTAGATTTAGAATGAACTAAATCGAAACGATTAAAGATTTTTTTCAGAAGATTTGAGAAGTGAAACGATAGTTGCGCCTAATAAAAAATTGGATAATCTCATCCATCTTGCAGAGTTGTGCGTTGATTTGCTTCAACAAAACGAAGAACATTACGCGGAGGTAAAAAGCGATCTCAACCTTTTAAATGAGGTTGATCCTAGAGATTGCGTGTAATCAATGTTTTCTTTATCTTTAACATGAAGTCTATGACAGTTCCTTCGCATATTTATTATGGATTATTTTTCAAAAGGAATGAATTCTTAAAACGAATTGTTGATCAAATTTTTGAAACATGATCCAAACAGAAAAATGATATATTAATGTATGTATGTAATTCTATGTGTACATGTGTAGCAGCTGCGAAAGGCTGATCGGCCACTGGCTATACAACAGTCAAGTTCGAACACGGGCACTCCAGTCCGAGAGGCCAAGCAGCAAAGTTCTGTGTATCGCTATTGCATGCCACAGCATGCCACTTACACTCCACCAGACCTGACGGCACGTACTACTATCTCTTTCTTTCTTAATACGCGAACGACAGTGGAAAGAAATTCATTCTTAGTTAACACGATTTTTGAAAAACATATTTTCTTATCACTGTCGATAAAAACGTGGTTTTCAACCATCTTTCATATTCGTATTATAAATAAACGTGATTAAAATAAAATTATGTAAGCAGGTGCCGACTGATATCCCATAACGCGTCGAGTGTTAAAATAAATCATTTTTTTTTGTATATAGTCATCTCTAAACGATTTGTCTAACTGACTAAATTTTTGTAAGGTAGAAATTTTTATAATATAAAACGAACGCTTGTTTTCTTAAGCTAGCCCCTTTCCATATCTATCTCGTATCTATTGCTTTAAATGTCAGATCATCAAAAAAAAAAATATATATATGATGAAACCCTATGCTTGAATTTTGGTGTGTATAGTCTTCTCTTGCAAGTCACTCCACCGATGCTCGCATTAAGACTGTCGCCTATAGAACGTGCCTACTTTTTCTACGTTGTTCTTTCAGTCAGCGCCTGAAATGACGTGCATGTTTGTTACCGACGTGTGAAAATCATGGGTAAAAATTTGATTTGGACATTTTTTTAATACATTTTCATTTCATTCAGATTGAATACAAATTGAAGCTTAAAATAACAGGAAATCTTATTTAGGCCTTCGCCTGGTTCAGCGATTTATTAGTAGAACACGCTGAAATATTTTGGTCGTTATTCGCTGAAGATATGGATAGAATTTTAGCGGAGCAATCGCCGGATACCTGGGATTCGTTTCCGTTATTCCAAATCTTGAACGATTATTTAAGAGCTGATGGTAAATTTGAATCAAATAAATTCCGACAAAAAAAATCAATTATTTTATTTTTTTTAAGACAACTTGAAAAATGGCCGATTCCATCAACACCTGAGAGATACCTTCGCACCTCTAGTAGTGAGATACGTCGACTTGATGGAGTCATCGATCGCGCAGAGTATCCACAAAGGATTCGAAAAGGAAAGGTGGGAAGTGAAAGGGTGAGCATGCCTTAGATGACTTGGACATAGCTGCATCTTCATTAGCCATCAGTTTAGATGAAACGGTATAGGCTGTACTAGATGATTTAGGAGATGATGTGGCTTATTTCTGTATATATATTATATATGTATGAAGTAGATTTATAATCAATGTGATCTTCAATTGCCACCCGAAAATAAACGCTTGAAATCTTTTAGAAAAATGTTTTTTTTCCAGCAATGGATGTGCGACTTCGGAGGATCTTTTCTGGAAATTGGACGCTTTGCAGTCTTTTATAAGAGATCTTCATTGGCCAGATGCTGAGTTCCGTCAACATCTCGAACAAAGATTGAAGTTAATGGCTTGCGATATGATTGAGTCTTGCATTCAAAGAACTGAGAGTGCTTTCCAACAATGGCTAAAGAAAACCGTCACCTTCATATCAACGGATTATGTTATTCCATCGGAAATGTGCGCAATGGTTAATGTTATCTTAGATGCTAAAAATCAATCTTTCAAGCTTTGCGCAGTTGATGGTATTGATGTCGTAAGTTTATTAAATTAAAAAGAATTTAAATTTGACAGTAAATTTTTAGCATCAATACCACACAAAAATCGATGACCAAATCGATAAAACTTTAGCGAGCATGAACCAGGGAATGATAAGCAAATTAATGTCCGTCTTAGAGGCCTCTCTTTCAAAACTATCCAGATACGACGAAGGAAGCTTAATCGGTTCTATTTTGAGTTTCACAAACGTTTCCGGTTCGGGTAAAGACATGGGTCAAGGTTACGTCAACTTTACCAGGAACTGCATGGACCAAATCCGCGGAAAGGTCACCGACGAACTTTGGATACTCAACTTCTTCGAGCAGTGGTACACTGCTCAAATCAATATGCTGTGCAACTGGCTCTCAGAGCGACTCGATCACACCTTACATCCTTACCAATGCACGTGCCTTGCCCATATAGTCAAAAAGGTCTACTCGGACTTCGAACTGCAGGGCGTCATGGAAGATAAATTAAATTCAAAAGCTTATCAAACAATCGCCCAAAGAATGCAAACTGAAGAAGCCACCTGTGCTCTTACAATGGGTCAAGCTGAAGGGTAAGATAATTTTTTTTTCAATCATGTGAAGTTTTATTGAGAAATATTATTATTGAGGTGCTACAATTAATACCATATCAACCCAAAATTGGAAAAAGCATATTTTATTATATATTTATATTAGCCAAGCATATTTTTTTATTACTCTGCTGATTACTTTATTACTATTACGCATAGTTGTTGGACTGTCTGATGTAAAAGTGTCTTTCAGATGTTCGGCAAACAAATTAAATTGGGTTGCATACTTACAATGATGACGTTGAATATGATAATTAATTAACACAGTGTATGTCTTTCCATGTTTAAGCCGAGAACTCTATAATTAAGTAATTCCTATGCATAACCATTAGGATATTGATTTGCTTTTTTATAAATACCTAATTAACCCTTTGCACTCGTATATATGTCCTTTTGTGAGTACACTGTACTCGGACTATTATTTTATCTACTTATCTGTCTACTCGGAATTTTTTTTATATGGGATTTTTTTTTAAATGCACTAATATTGCTTGGTAAATACACTTAGTGTAAAAACCAACAAAAAATTTGGAAAAATTAAAAAAAAAATCGCTTAATGTTAAAAACTATGGGATGTTTTTTAAAAAATATTTTTTTACACAGATGTTTATTCAAATTAAACACAATAATTTATTACATTATAACATGAAAAATAACTAAATAAAGAGAACTTGAAAAACACTAAATAATAAATAATGGATTACAAAAATAATAAATCTTGAAGATAGAGAAACACAAATAAAACCGAACGTTATCATAATCACTACCATTCTCATTAAATAAATTTATACACAATTTACAAAAAATTACGTTTTATAATGTTGTAGTGTATGGTACCGTTCGAAGCAGTCACCAATATGTAGTCCAGGCATACGTGTGCAAGTGTCACAAATATACCTAGTTTCCCGCCTGCCGCCTTGTACTTTACGGTTAGAACATACCGCATAGTCTTTTTTCTTCCCATCATTCAAAATATGTAATTTACCATTTAGCCGTTCGTCTGTATCTACAGATGATGGTCTGCCAGAAGTTTTGGACCCCTGCCGAAAGTTTTTTGTCATCTCGTCAACCAATTCCCGAACAAACTTTAGATGTGTCATTGGTTTTTTGTTTTGGCCCCGTTGTAAAATTTTATATAATAAATATGCATTGACACTGGACATTTCGAGTCCCCAGAAAAATAACTTTCGCCACCACTTCAAAGACTTCCTCAGGAAACAGTATGACGCTGAATAAGAGTCTGCGCGGTCGACACCTCCCATAAATTTATTGTAATTGACCACTACATTTGGCTTATTTACAACTTGTAAGTTGCCTCCACGTACTCTTCTGTTGATAGGCTGTGTTCCTGAAATATCCCACGAAGTAAGTATGGTGACGACCATTTTATCTTTCCATGCCAATAACATCAAATTACCTGATCTGCATGCAAATGTGTTGTCTTCGGCAAATGTTGGTTCAGAATCAGGTATAAATTTGCGGTTTATTTGAATAGTGCCTGTCAAATGAACATTTAGTTTTAACAACTCTTCTGCAAGTGGCAAGCTAGTATAGTATCTATCGGTGTAAAAATGATATCCTTTACATCCTGGGTTATTGTCTAATAATTTTTGACAAAGATGTAACACTATCCTTGTACTTACAGGTAAATCAGGTCTCACTAAATCTTCCGATGTCAAGCTTCCATAGTACGGCAAAATTGAATAAACATACCCGGTGTTAGCATCCGCCATTACATAAATTCTTATCCCCCATTTCGTAGGCTTGTTAGGGTTGTAAGTTAAAAAACTAATTTTACCCTTAAATCCAACAACAGATTCGTCTACCGATATCTCTCTTGATGGAACAAAATGTTCTTTGAATTGTTTGTCCAAATAATCTAAATATTGACTGACTTTCTGAGTTCGAGCCCTAAGAGTTTGGTCATTTGGATCGTTTTCATGCAAGTGGAGCATCCAAAAAATTTGTAAAAATCGTTCTCTTCTAAATATGCTACTAAAAAAAGGTATTTTGGCATTAAACTGTTGTGACCAATACTCTTGGATATTAGATACGGTTATCGGACCCATATTTAGGACAACCCCAATAAATGCGGTAAACTCTTCTACTGTAGTATCTACCCACGTGTGCCATGTAGAACGTTTTGACAACCTCTTCTGTGCTATTTTATGTCTAGCGTAGTTATTTGTTTGTTCCACTATTTTTATTATTAGCTCATCGGTAAAAAAGAGCTTGAAAAAATCTATGGGTTTTGTACAAGTATCTGGAATTTGTGGTCCTACCATTTTATCCCCAGAAGTAAATAGAATCCTGTCTGGTACCTGATCGTGGCATGTGACGTCCTGCCATGGACCAAAATTGCCAGGTTGTGTTATATTCTCGTCTTCTGTACTGCTGCTTGAACTTGATGGTAAAGGTATGGTTCCCTGTCTTTTAGTAACTATAATATCACTACCACTACTAGAGTCACTTTCTTCACTAATATTATCACTATCCAATCTATCATTTTCAGGCGCGTCAATATAAAATTCATCGTCACTACTTTGCAACTCATTTTCAATTTCATCTTGTAAAAATTTCTTGAGCATTTCAAATATTTTTTTTTCGAAATATAACGAAAAAATACACCGAACTTTACCCAATCGTGCTAGTTATAAAACTGAGTAATATTGAAAACGCAAAAATGGTGCACATGTGAACTGAAGTGGTTTAACATGGTATGCCTCCTATACGGCGACATACAAGTGCAAAGCTTAAACGTATTGTGGCGATTATACGGCGGCATACAAGCGCAACGGTAAAACGCATCTTGCCGCTCCTACGGCGACATACGAGTGCAAAGGGTTAATAAAGCTAATTAAAAAAAATTTTATACATTAAGTATTAATGAAATTTATAGAGATGCTTTGGATGATGATGGTGATGCAAGGAGTAGATCAAAAGGAAATATTATGGAAAGTTTAAGTGAAGATGGTAATTACGTAGCAAATATTGGTACGATGGTGGCTGGGAAAGTTGGTAATATCTTCGGAAAAGGAATCGGAGGATTAACGACGAAATTTGGGAGCGGCCCAAGCTGGTTCTAAACTCTTGCGATAGGAGAAGCTTTATATTTTCTAATATACACGTAACAAAAAAAAACATCGCTAAGTTGCCGGATAGTTGCAGATACTTCTTCGGGGGCGTAACTAAATAAAAAATGAAATGCTTATATTTTCTGACATACAAACGGATACCGAAAGATAAGATATAACTATAAGACATTATTTATGAAATGAAATAAGTTCGAAGCAATTTTTTTTCGTGATGGAATTTTATGCGTATGTGTGTCTTTAGAATCCGTTCTATTTATATTTCATTAAAATCACCAGATTCTTTTAATTAAAAAAATACATTTATGCCTATACGATTATTGTAGTAAATACATCGGAATTGAACGATAAAAAGTCGGAGCGTGAATACGGTTCCTATTTATAAAAACAAACCGAAATAATTGAAAATAATAAATAAAAAGCATATCAGGTGATTCGCGTTTAAATCGTTACCATAGCACATAGCAATAATATGTCATATACAAATAAGCTCCAATGAAAAAGAAATAAATAACTAAAATAAAGCTACCAAGGAGTATTCACAAGAAATAAATAAACGTCTAGACTAGGTGTGATAACCAATGGCCTTCATCGGTAACTACACATTTATCTAATTATCTAATAAATAATTTATTTTATCAAATCGTCGTCCGATGTACTTACTATTCTAACACAATACGAACAATAAAAGATTTTTGTTTATGGTAGAGACGTTTGCTTTATTACCAAATATATATTATATTTATTTAATTAAAAAAATATTATTTAAATTTAGCAAACTCTCTACTGTAAATTAAATCTACATCATCGAGGATTTATATTATCTCTGAGTTTTTCGGATAATCTTAATTTAAAATTAAAAAAAAATCATAAAACCTCGATGATCTATATATATAAAAATCGATTGAGTCCTCCTTTTCAGAAATCGCAAAATAAATTAGAAAAAGAATGCATGTATGTTACATATTGATGTATTTATTATCAAAAATAAAATAGTAATCACCATATCATAACGGAGCCTATGTTAATACGAATGTTATATTTATAGTGCTATAAATTATCTAAAAAAAATGAACAGAATTGTATAGGATGCTATGTTGATTTCTGAAAACGGAGAAAAGGATATATATGTATATGTGTTCTCAAAATAAAGCTAATAAAATACAAAACACCGCAAAAGGAAACAATAACAAATTATGATGAAACTTAAAAAAACAAAACAAGAAGTAAAACATAACGTAAAAATGTTCCGTTATAAGTTGAGTATGAATTACTTGAATCACAAGCGATTATTGTATGAGATTCCTGGATATTGTTTATCTCGGCTATTGTAGTATTGTATGATATAAAAAAATGGCAAACAACGATAACTTGATATTGATAATAATAGTTAATGTATTTGCTGCATGCTCTAACGAAAAATCTTCTTAAATGCGTTAAAAAAATCCTTAAACAATAAAAAATTAGAAATCAGCGAAGTTACATTTCTGATATAAGTACAAATTACGATGACGTTCATTATGTGCTAGCATAGATTAAAAAATCGGTAATGAAAAAAAAATTGAAATTGAAAAAGTATTGGTCGAATCGAATTTTTGATCCTAATCAATTGATTTGTTAAATGTGTAAATATAGTTTTCGATAAACTAGCAACTAGAAAGGAGATGAAATAAAAAAAATAAGATAAAATTCAACAAGGTTCTACCTATTTAGCCTATTTATATAAAAATGTTAAAAAAATTTGAAAGTTTAAAAACAGAAAATATTTCTAATAATACAATTGCAAATAAGTCCTAATAACTAAGTTGTCACTTTCAGACCTTATTGACTTGTTCGCTAAATATACCAAATAAATATTTTAGATAACTTTTTAATATAGCAGAGATTAATCAATATCTAGTCAACTCAAACGTTTAATACATCTAACTTTAAATAATTCATTCAGTTCTTTTACGCCGAATTTAACATTAAAAGGAAATAAAACACTTACAATTAAATAAAAATAATTAAATTAAAGAAACGGTTTATATATGGCAGAACTTACCGTTTATAGCGAAGAGGCCTGTGATTATTCAAGCAAATTCTATATACTATTTAGCCTCTAAAAACACCTAACAGAGGTCGGATAATATTGTTATGTTGAACTCTTAACTTATACTTATCGAAAAATAAATTGTTTTAAAATGTACCAATTTAGTTCTTCATTTTATATTTTCCTCATTCATCTCACCATGAAAAATCAAAAAGAATTTCAATTTAATCATTCCGATTAAAGGTAAGTACATTAGATTTAATTTCTTATTAATTTCATTTTTATTCAAATATCGCAATAATGTGGCAATATTATAACCATATAATGGTCGGATAGATGTGCCGGATAACCGGATATCCGGCTTTTCGCAAAATCACTAGTATTTAATGTTATGAAGATAATTTTTTGAAATCTTCCAGTGATTTTTTTGAATTTTTTCTCAATGAAGTTTCTTTGAAATAATTTCTTTCCGTTGAGTTCATACAGAATTTTAATCTATTTCATTATCAACTATTTCCTGGAATCTTCGTTACAGTTTTTTTTAAACGAACGCAACATCCTCCACGTCTCTACAACGCCACGTAGAGTTAAAAAGAATTTTTTCAACCATGTATTGAGTACTAAAGTCCCTTGAGTAATGAAACGCAATATATATCGATAACTTTTGTGCTAGTGAACGCTTGATACGAAACAGTTTTAATAGAAATCCCCAAAGGGTTCAATCACCAACGCGTTTTTTCATCGTTTTTACTTCAGTGCGTATTCAGTTCGTCACTTAACCATGCCACCAGACGATTGTTTAATTCAGTTACTACAAAACGAATTATTATTCAGTGAAATCAACAATGAGAACAAAAATAACGGGATTTTCGACGACTTTGACTTCCAAAACGAACTTATCTTCCCAGAACAACCCGTAAGTTTAAACAACACAGTTCAGGAATGCCAAGAACTTCAATCGATAGACCATAATCTTTTTCAAAATGATATTAATTTTTTTAACCCGGAAACTATTGTTGATATGGATTTTAATTCGTACGAAAATATCGATATCGATCAACTTTTTGGACACCATTTCGAAACATTTGCAAATAATCAAGACGACAAACACATACAAATTGAAAACATGCAAATGGAAGATGTTCAAAATCAAGATTTTCAAATTAAAGACAATTCAATCAAAGATAATTTAATTACTTCGTCTGACTTAATTAATTTATTCCCTCATATTTGCGAAGAAAAAAATCGCAGAAGAAGATCGTTACTTTTTGAAAGTACATTTAATCCAAAAAATAACAAAAAAGAAGAAATAAAAAATGTTTATACTAAACGAATCGATCCTTTATTAAGTCATGATTATGCTCAAAGGAGAAACGATGAAGATAAATACTTTCCATGCCCGGAAAGAAGTTGTGAAAAAGTTTACGCGAAGTCATCACATTTAAAAGCTCATTTAAGAAGACATTCAGGGGAAAAACCGTTTGCTTGTAACTGGCAAAATTGTAATTGGAAGTTTTCGAGATCCGACGAATTGGCTCGCCATAAACGATCGCATTCGGGAATAAAACCTTATAAGTGTGAACTTTGTGAGAAAGCCTTCGCCCGATCCGACCATTTGGCCAAACATGTTAAAGTTCATCGCAAAAAAATGGCACAATTTGGTGATTATTACATCAAAAAAAGAGTTGTTAAAAATTAGATAATACAAACATTTATTATTAATAACGAAATTTATTAAAATTTATAACATTTACTTCCATATCATTTAATTATAACCTCCCCAAAATTAGAATTAATTTAAGAATTTATTTTCTCAGCCGAGATTATATCTTATTTTCTTGTTGTTTTTCATGCATCCTTTAAGTTGCATAAACCCATGTTTCTAGTTCTAGGCACTATTAGTGTATATAGGGTGGTTGTAACTTGTCTTATTACCTATGTAAAAAAAATTTAGTTTTAAATGAAACAAAAAATTTCTGTGCAAAAGATATATTTGAGAAATGGCATGTTACAAAGGAAACGTTGGAATAGAGGATAAATACAATGTTCCTACACAGAGACTACCGTCACCATCGTCAAATGGAACAAAAATTAATAAACGTTGGTAACAGACAATGACTAGTAGCAAATTTTTCCATAAATATGTTTATAAATTTGAAAGGATAAAAATGACAAATTCTTAATTGTTTCGTATAAATGCAAACCATTCAAGCACCTTTCTTCGAACGTTTGTAAATAACATTATTTTTTGAGAACAAAAAAAATTGATTAAAAATCATAATACAACTACACAAAAAAATGTAAAATACAGTTTCAATAAGACTCGACAAATTTTCATCCAATAAATACCTAACACTTAAACGCTTACGGACTATTTTATTATTATTCTTATTATTATATATAACATAGACTACTAAAAAAGGTTAAGTCCGATTATATATAATAATTTAAAACATCAAAAAATAATATATGTATATATACTTTTTTTTTGGATATTTTTTTAAGAGATTGACTTTTTTTTGTATTTTTTCTTTTGTATCACGTCGAAGTTTCGAGTCGCCGATTCAGGCCACTTCACTAATCCTCGATAAATTAGTACTGAACGAATCCAATGGTCGCGGGCCTAACAAGGTGCTCAGAGAGAATTGCCACCGCATCTTCTGTTTTGTTTCCGACTTCTTGTAATCATCGTAATGTTTCAAGACGTGCTTTACGTTGTTATAACAGGTATAAAGTTCCCCTGCATTAACCTGAAACACAAAAATAATATTTTTTTAAAATAAAAAAAAAACATTTCTCAGAATTATTACTCATACTTAGTAGTAAGTAAACATATTTGAAAATTCCTTTTAAAATTATTTACTTACCATGCATACACTCTGCAGATCCACTATAACTGTTAAAAAACGTAAAATTTCAATAGAGTAATAAGGTGATTTTGAAGGAACTTCTGCGGCCAGAAATTGTTCAATTTCGTATTGTATCAAAGCTAATGCAATCAGTGGGTAACGAACTGATGCACAAACATGGTTTATCATAACCACTTCAAGACGTCTTGATAATATCTTTTTCTGCAACAAAATCATTGATTAAATTAACAATATATAAAAAAAACCTTTAGAACAAAAGTTGTAGTAAATTTTGTAAATCACTCGGGATTCAAAGCGTGAAACCAAGTCTACCCTGCTTGAAGTTTATGTACGTAAGTATCATTAATGACCAAGTAGTGTCATTAATGATACTTTGGGCGGATTTGAAGTCGGCCGAGAACGAACAATACTTGGGTTGGGTTGGGTTTACAATTAACAACTTTATGGAACGAGTAATCTCGGCCGATTTCGAAGATGTAGGCCGCCCTTAGTTATATTTGTGATCTAAGAAATAATCTCGGCTGATTTCGAAGACGTCGGCCGCCCAAACTATCGTTAATGATACTATTTGGTGCGGTCGACGTCTTCGAAGTCGGCCGAGATGATTTCTTATATCACGAACAATATTTGGGGTGGCCGATGTCTTCGAAGTCGGCCGAGATTACTTCTTATGTCACAAACAATACTTGGGTTGGGTTTAGGGTGTCCAGTCCCGGTATTTAGTCCCGGGTCCGTCTCGGGATTTCTTGAAAAAAATGTAGGTCCGGGACCACTAAGAAGTCCCGGGATTTTATAAGTCCCGAAATTAAGGAAAAAATTAAAATATCGGAACGACTACAACTAACAGGTTACAACCTGTTCAAAATATCGATCTCGAGGCACCGACTAGCTAACGGGTGATCTAACGAAACGGTTCTCCGAGTTCGTAAAAACCTAAATTGATAGGGGAATCACCGGCTAGAACGAGTTACGACTTGCAATATTTGTAGAATCGGTGTTATATACCGGCGGTGCTCCAGTTAATAGGTATAGTCGTGTGACACTGTGAGTTGTGGCTAGCCTGTGCTCTGGAGGTTTTTGTGTGCTCGTCAAATAATTTGTCATTAGCAGAAAAATTAAATAGGATATTTGAAAATGCAATGTCTACGTCCACCAGCACGAGAGCAATATCACCACCTCAAATTGGAACATCAACAAAAAATTCATTAATTACAATAATCAAAGACGCCCTTTTCGAGAAAGGCGGTTGTCGAGGCAAGAATCTTCAACTATGCTACGAGTATTTGCTAACCATATCGCTCACGACTGTACAATCGGAATGGGCGTTTACTATTGCCGGTTTTTTTGCAACGAAAATACGCTTGGTATTAGGAGATAAATCTTTAAACGCACTTTTAGCACTAAACCATATTTTAAAAAATAAATTTTTTTTTTAATTTCCTATTTTGTGATTTTTTTTATGTTTCTCTCATTCTATATAAATTTCTTTTATTCAATTGGTGAACTCCTACAGTAACACTAAAGTAAAAAACCCAAAGTACGTTTTTAACTGTTTTTTAAATATTTTTTTGCAAACGTATTTTGATTTCGGGACTATTTTCGGGAATTCGGGACCTTTGGTCCAAGTACCGGGAATTAGAATTTAGTCCCGAATCCCGAAAACATTTTTAGTCCCGGGAATTGGACACCCTAGTTGGGTTGGTTTTACTATTAACAACTTTATGGAACAAGTAATCTCGGCCGACTTCGAAGACGTCGGCCGCCCCAAGTTGTATTCGTGATATAAGAAATAATCTCGACTGATTTCGAAGACGTCGGCTGCCCAAACTATCGTTAATGACACTACTTGGAGCGGCCGACGTCTTCGAAGTCGCCCGAGATGATTTCTTACATCACGAACAATATTTGGGGCGGCCGACGTCTTCAAAATCGGCCGAGATTACTTCTTATGTCACGGACAATACTTGGGTTGGGTTGGGTTGAGTTGCGTTGGGTTGGTTTTACTATTAACCACTTAAGCATCTCGAACGAGACCCTCTCGCGCATCAAATGCCTTCCGATTTGCGCTATCCCGAGAAAAACCCTCGCATTAAGTGGTTAACAACTTTATGGAACAAGTAATCTCGGCCGACTTCGAAGACGTCGGCCGCCCAAAGTATCGTTAATGACACCACTTGGTGCGGCCGACGTCTTCGAAGTCGCCCGAGATGATTTCTTACATCACAAACAATATTTGGGCCGGCCGACGTCTTCGAAGTCGGCCGAGATTACTTCTTATGTCACGAACAATACTTGGGTTGGGTTGGTTTTACAATTAACGACTTTATGGAATAGATAATTTTGGTCCAAAGTGTCGTTAATGACACTACTTGGTGCGGCCGACGTCTTCTTTAATTAACAATATATTAAAGATGAGTTAAATATTTACCTGTAACATTCTAGATGACAGTGGTTTGACGTTTAACTTTGTAGCAGCACATTCAAAAATACGCAAGAAGAGATTCAAATAGCTGTAAATGGTGACAGGTTGGGCTCGGGGCTCGATGTCCAATTTTTTCCGTATAATATCACACATTCGTTCCATATCGTTGATCGAACACTTCGTTTGCGAGACGCTGATAAAAATATTTGGGTCAGCGGGTTGCTTGTGAATTTCGCACGAGATGTAGAGACAACTGATGGAAACGCAAGACAGGTACTTTTCCTGGACATTCATCTTGCTCAAGAATCGGTCGAGCAGAGTCACGGCCGTAAAGAAAGCCTCGGATGGGAGGCCCAAATAGAATTTGAGGAACCGGAGATTGCGAACTGCGATTTCTCGCGCGGCAATCGCGCCTCCATCCAAGGCTTGCAAATCTATAGAGTGTTTCTCTTCTAAACCGAGAGCTTTTTGCAACTCGGCGGCGATTTGCTTTACGTTAGCATCCGGCACGGGCCGGCTCCGTCTTTTGCCCTTACGACTCATCTCGGCTACAAACAGCGTTTATTTATTTCCTTCGACGGTCAGTCAGTTTTCCATACTTCGTACTGATTTGCAAAAAACAGGAGCAGGCCCTATCTGGGTAAAAAAAATTTATTAGATATTTAATATTCCAAGTTTAAATAAAATATTTCATAAGATTATAGAATGATGCAATAAAATGTCGAAATTAAAAAAAAATGTGTTGTAAACCAGGATAAATTAAATAAATAAACCGAAATAGGGCATTTTAGTACTACGCATTTTGTAAAGCCTCAAGGATTAGATTGTTAGCCGATCGTTTTATCAAACCGAAACAACAAACAATAATCCTTTGTTAGAAGTTACAAAAAAACTTAGACATCAAAAAACCCGTCTTATCTAAATTTTAATACAATATTAACTTACCCGGATGCTTTAAATTTGAAAATATGATTGCACTTCTCTAGTTAAGTTACTTGTTTCTCCTGCGAAGTAGGAAAAAAAGATGAATAACACTTGCAAACAAGTCGACTCGTTGAAGTATCGTATAAAACTGTTCCTAGTGCTATCTTACGCAACCGTTATATTCTCGAAGCATAGAGGCCTTCTACATAAAGACCAATTTCGCGTACTCACGTTTCGAGATCGTATCAATAGAGGACACCAATAACAAGAACGCAAAAACGTTTTAATCCTTTTACTTTATTACTGAACGAATCGTACCGAATGAAAGGTTTTAAAGATAACGTCCACTTATATCAATGAATTTTTGAACACGATTCAACTCGATTCCGGAATACCCATAATCTAGAAATTTCTACGGACAGGTTCTGACAGGTTAAGACTTGTTCGTATCCAAATATACCTGGAACGTGAATAATTATGTATATTATCTTTGTAGTTTTAAATAAAAGATGGCGTTAGTTTGAATTATTTGAATTATGTCGAACAATTTATTGTATTGTTTGTTGTATCACGAAGTTGCTATATTCATATTTAAAGTTATTATATATTTATTGTTATATAATAAGTATTGTTCGTGATATAACTTGAGGCGAAATTGTTAATAGTATGTCGGTGCCCCCAAGTTATATTTATGAATACAACTACTCACGAATACAACTTGGGGCTGTACAAACAATAAAATGAGCTATAAAGTTGAAAAGTCTTGGACACCCTTAATCGTTACTAGGTACTTACTAACTACAAAAAGGATGTTAGATCTTGATTAGATGAATTAGTTTGGAAGAGTATCTGTTGGAAGGTACACCTCTACTCGAAACTCTGCATACCCCAAGTATCACGAATAATACTCATGTCGGCCGAGATTATTTCTTTCCATATAAGGACCAATAAAGGACCAATAAAGGATACCATGAACAATAATCTTGGCCGCTCTAAATATGACGAACAATACTTAGGGCGGCCAACATCTTCGAAGACGGCCGAGATTATTTGTTCCATAAAGTTATTAATAGTAAAACCAACCCAACCCAAGTATTGTTCGTGATATAAGAGGTAATCTCGGTCGACTTCGGAAACGTCGGCCGCCCTAAATATTATTCGTGATATTAGAAATCATCCCGCACCAAGTAGTGTCATTAACGATACTTTGGGCGGCCGACGTCTTCGAAGTCGGCCGAGATTACTTCTTATATCACGAATAATACTTGGGTTGGGTTGGTTTTACTATTAACAACTTTACCAACCCAACCCAATCTGCCACAATATGATAAACAATGCTTAGGTCGGCCGAGATTATTTCTTATATCACGAATACAAGTTGGAGCGGCCGACGTCTTCGAAGTCGGCCGAGATTATTTGTTCCATAAAGTTGTTAATAGTAAAACCAACCCAACCCAACCGAACCCAACCCAAGTATTGTTCATTCGTGATATAAGAAGTAATCTCGGCCGACTTCGAAGACGTCGGCCGCCCCAAATATCCCAAAGTATCGTTAATGACACTACTTGGTGCGGCCGACGTCTTCGAAGTCGGCCGAGATTACTTCTTATATCACGAACAATACTTGGGTTGGGTTGGTTTTACTATTAACAACTTTATGGAACAAATAATCTCGGCCGACTTCGAAGACGTCGGCCGCTCCAACT